GGCGCGCGGCGGCCTCCGCGGTTCCCGCCCCCCGACGAAGGCGCCCCAGGAGGGCCGCGCGGCGGCCGGCGCCGGCGCCGGCCCCTGCGACCCGCTGGCGGCCGGCTGCTGCAGGTCAACGTCCATGGCCTCCTGGGCCATCGCCGCCCTCACGAGCGCCCGCGCAGCCAGGCGCCCTCGCCCGCCCGCAGCGCCGGCACTCGCCGCCCCATTGGCTGCTCGTCCGGCTGCGGACGGCGCGCGCCAAAGCGATGCTCGGCTGCCATTGGAGGGCGAAGTAGCACGCCGCCTTCTTACTGGGCGGCCTGCCCGCCAGTTTCCCGGCCGTTCGCGTACGGGGGGCGGGAGGGGAATGGGAGGGCTAGGTTCCGTTCGTAGCTGGAGAGCTTGCGCGCTGGCCTGAGATTTAAAAACTTGGAAGAGTAACCACCGCAGCGCCTGACGGCGGATCTGCTTGTCTGCTTTGGCAACGTGCGTGGCCTTTTTCTTTCTCCCCGTGGCAAAAGTGAGGCCAGCTCAGAGGAAAACCAGGAAAAATGCCGGTTTTTTTAAACATTTCTCCCCCGGCCCGTTACACGTGTGCACACTCTGCAGCGCATGCTGAAAGCAAAGATGCCCGTGGATGTGTTTTACAACTCGGGTCTTCTTGCACGTGAAAATGGTAGCTGCTTTTTTAGAGTTTTTCACAGGAAATGCCCTGTCCATGGAAATTGCAGCCCAAATTTGCCGTGTACCTGCCAGGCGTATGCCGCGTAAAGTGGGAAATGGGTCTTAAGCAGCAGCTAATTTAATAATTTCTTGGGATCAGCCTGAAGGGGACTGAAGTACTCGAGGTTTGCGCCACATTTTATAACCTTTTGCTGGGCCAGCGGCTGCTGGGCAGTTTATGCATACCAGGTTTCAGTCTGAATCTTTAAGGAGTTATTCATGGCTCTGAACTCCGCCTCAAAAATAGATACTGTGCCACGAAACGACACAGAACCATTAGAAAGGATTTCCCTGAAGAACTTCTACCTACCCCCCAGTTTTTAAACGGGACAAGAGGGAACTTAGGAGTTCTGCATTGTTGCAGTGTTTGCAAGCCATCACCTTCTGTGCCACCAAAGCTAGAAAACAAGCTAAAGAACTTAAATATACAAGCGCAAGCAAACGATCATGTGTTTCTACCCTTTACCTATTTCCGGGATGCAGTATCAGCCACACCTGCACTATGAGCAATCACTTCTAATAATGCTGTTTCCTACATTAAGTTTGCTTCTGATCTGCTTACAATTCTCCCACTGCAGCCACGGTGTATCAGCCTGAAACTCCACAGTGTTCCAAACGTCACAAGAAGTGGGTCTTCCATCCATAAAAGTTCAATCACAAATGCGTTTAGCCCTTAAGGTGCTACAAGGCTCTTTGCTGTTGTGTCAGGATGTGTACGGTCTGCACAAACCCACAGACATTCGCACTGGGTGCTGAGCTCTCAAGGAGACGGTTTGACCCGAACGCATGGAGAGGACATGGCCGGACTCCTGCTCCTTCAAGCCCTGGTCAGGTGCCTGAGGAAAATGCCCGCTGGGGGTTTTTTCTGGCCTGGAAATGCAAACAGCCACAGGACCAACACTGACATATTAATTGAAATTCACAGAGGGCAAAAGGACGATATCTGACGTTATTTACTCAGCATGCCTTTATTTTTCTCTCATGCACAGATTGGGAACATACACAGTAAGATCTATACAGTCCTGTGCATTGGACCTAGAATTCCTGTTGGGTTGATTAATGGCCCTAAAATGAGCAGTAGGGCTATAGACCGAGGGCGGTGGCAGGCTCTCCCACCCTCAGGACGCAGCTGGACAGCCACCTGGGAGGGACGGTCAACTGGGAGTCCTGCACTGAGCAGGGGGTGGCCCTCCGGCCCCTTCCAGCTCTCCTGTTCTAGGATTCCGTGATTCTTTGAGTACTGCTTTCTATTGGAGGGAACCATTTCTGTCCCCTGCCCCCACCCCCCCATCTGTAAGGGTGCGATCCTACGGAAGTTCAGGCAGAAAAAAAGGATTTCTGGGCATTCAGGGTATGGCAGGCCTGTTGTTCCTGTTTGAACTCGCATGGCCTTTTGCCATCGGCGGCTTGCGAACTGCAGCTGCGAGACTGGGGAAGCTTGCCCTCTTGCAAGCAGGTAAATTGAACTGGACGCAGCGGGCATGTTGGGATGCCACTGGGATCCAGTTGCTCCCTGCTGGCAGTTAAGGACACAGAGAGTCCTTGAGTAGTGGAAATAAAGCAGTGGCAGAGAAATAACCGGGAAGAACCAGCAGTACTGCGGTCAATATCCAGTCATTCTGTGTGTTGTTATACTGCCGCTAGATACAGGGTAAGCCATAAATGGGGGTAGGTGGCAACAGCAAACGTTAGTCCCCTTAATGCAGAAAAAACTCTTGTGGCTCTGCTGTAAAAATGGCAATGGACAATATCATCATGTCTGTGCATTGTCTGTTTTTTCATTAATTTGATGTGTGCATGAGAGAGGAGGAGGAAGGAACCCGTTTGGCAGAACACGGCTGCACTGTGTTTTAGGCATGGTGGTTACTCATGTCATGTGACTCCAGGATGGGGTCGCCAGGGTGGTGTATTTTGGGGTGACCCGCTGCCCTGGCAACGCTCGGCTTACAGCTGGGTCCCTTGTTCCAGGATGGACGGCCGCGTCATCTGAAACCAGGCAGCACAAACCAGCTCATTACCAGGCCGGGTCCCAGACGAGAGCTTGTGCCTTTGCACCGACTGACAAATGGCCCAGCGAACCATTTGCCGAAAGGGAGTTCTAGGCCTGTGCTGAGCCTGGAAGAGGCAGTGCAGCCGTGAGCGCGCGGGGAGGTGGGGCTGGCCCTTGCGCAGCCCAAGCGAGCCCAGGTTCATCTCATGCAGAGAGGCTGTCCCGGCCGCCATCTTGGGCCACAAGGAGCTGGTTCACAATCGCTGCAAAAGAAAGGGCAGTGACTTTCAGCGCAAGGCGAGGGCCACTGGATCCCTTGAGCTGGTGGGTGTGCAACCTCTTGCAGCCCCAGGGCCGGCCTTCACGTCAGAGATGCTCTTGGGACACCATTCCACGGGTAAGCAGGGCGGCAGGCGGAGGGGCCGGAGCCCAGACTAAAGAATGCAAGTAACACTGCACGTCCCAGTCGCGAACACATGCAAATAAGAAATACTGTTTTTGCTTAAGGCACTTTCGCTGCCAGTATTTTTGCTCAGGAGGGGCAAGTCAACCCTTTCGAGAGCAGGAGAGCACCGAAGGGTCACTGGCGGGGAGGGGGGGGTGTATCCTTGGAGGAACCCCAAGGGAATGGGCTGGGACCGCCTCCACACCAAGGGCCTCCAGGGTAGCTTCGGCTGCTCTGGCCGCTGCAGCATCCCCTGGCGCCAGGCCAGGCCTGCAGTACCTTCGGCAGATGGGCGCTTAGACGGCTCAAAGTCCCTGCACAGGTTGATGATGTCCCGCAGGTAGGAAGGGCAGCCTTCTCCCAGCGGTTCCTGGTATCTCTGCTTGTAAACCTTCTCGTAGATCTCCACTGAAGTACAGCCTAAGGGAAGAATCACAGTGGCTCCGGGGAGATGGGGCTTGTTTTACCAGCCGCCTGACCATTAGCAGAGGGAAGCAACAGCCCCAGGCAGAGATGATGGGCGACGGCAGGAGGCCACACATGCCTGGATGCGATGGCACGATGGCACGAGCCCGGAGCCTGGTGCCCTCAGGGGCAGGGGCGGCTGCAACACCATCACCAGCGGAGGAGGGATTTGGCTGCGATGCGGTTGGCATTTGTGCATGGAAGGGGAGGGGGCCCCATCTTGGTTTTGGCCTCAGGCCGCCCTGGTTGTTTCACATACACAGAGTGGATTAGTCAGATACCCTAAACTGGCAGTCAAATGTGTTAATTTACTGAAAGCGTGTGTGCCCTTCTCTTCAGCCAAAAGGCTCCCAGGAAGTAAACATTTGGAACGGCCCTACGATTTAAAGAGCTTGGCCGAAAAGGAAAGCAGGCAGGAGGGGGGAATGAGCGCATGGAGGCCACGGACGGTCACGAGGAGGGCTCCCACTTCAAGAGGACTGCTCCACCATGAAAGGGGTGCCAGGACCACTCCCAGTAGATGCAGAGATGGAGTCTCTGCCCTTCCACCCCTCCCTCCAGCAGCGGAAGAGAAAGTTAGTCGCTCCCCTAGATCCGGAGAACACACTGCTGCCCCTCCAGCAACCAAAGGAGCCAAAACTGGATGCGTTCGCGCCTCACCTGCAAATGGGATCTTGCCAGTCACAATTTCCCAAAGCACGATCCCGAAGCTGAAACAAAGAGAAGGGGCCCTGTCAGGCTGGCCAGCGGTCACAACGGTCAATTCCCAGCTGTGCTGCTAAGCACTTCAAAAACCTGGGAGCCAGTCTTCCCCAAAGTGGCACACGCTAATATCTATCTTTGTGTGGAAATGCAGAAGTACTGTGAACTCAAGCCACCTGAAATCAAATAGCATCCTCAGTTGATTTGCAGCCTGGATCATCTCAAGCCAGTGGAGAACATTTTCCCCCTCCAGGCTCAGTCACCAGCCAGGCAAAGATTTCTGGAGGGACGGGGAATGTAGCAGCACAGGGAGGGAAAGAAGCACTACTCCTTCCTTCCCCGGCCACGATCCCGCCAAGCCGAAGCGACCCGTGTTGGCCCCCGTTTGCTTAACAGACTCGCGAGGGGATGTGGTTTTGCACGGGCCTCCTCCGTATCTCCCTGGAAGGTCCAGGGGGCTGCAGCCTTGGCTAAGAGCCAAGAGGTGGGGTGAGCAACCTCGCAAACAGGAGAGATACCTGTATATTTCACTAGCCAGATCGTGCGGGTGGTTCACAGAGGCCAGACCCTGAGGGCAGATGTAGGCTGAAGAAGCAACCTCCTTGCAGTGTTTCTCCTTGCTTTTCTGGCTGATGGATGACTCCGTCTGATCCAGCTTGAATCCTGACAACTGAGAGGAGCAGACGCAACCGTGATGAGCGCCCCAGCTCAGTTCTGGCAGTTTTCTTCGCCTTCGGGAGCCAGCCATCTCCAAGCAAACAGCTCTGAATCACCCATTCAAAAAGGTTTCACCTCACACTAGGGAACGAGGGACCAATGCTCTCACCGTTCCCGGGGAAACTCATTTTACCCCGGCTGCTGGGAGCATTGCAGCTAAGCGTGGAGGAGATGGGGCTTGGTGCTGGGGTGCTTGGCAGGCGACCTCAGCTCACCTGCTCACCTGGAAGTCCCAGGAAGCAATGCATCCTGGCCATTGCAGCCCCAGGAATGGCCCTGAAGCCACAACGAAGACGAGCGGGGCGGGTGAGCCTGCAGGCAAGCTGTGGATGCACACACGGGCCTGGTCCATAAAGCGTGGCAGCCTCTGTTGGCTTACCTGACTCCGGGGGACCACCACGCCTTCCCAGGCAGGCAACTTGCCATGATTCCAATAACGGGCCACAGCAAGAGGGAGATCTCACCTTGACGCAGTAGCCTTTGGCAACCAGGAACTTGGTGCTGTTGATGTAGCGACGCATGTGGCCTTTGTCTGCTGCCTGGTGCAACCTGCAGCCGAGAAGAACCGAGAGCAACACAGGTGCAGGGGTGGGGGTGGGGGGGGTGTGCAGAAGAACATTTTCTGCTTTGGTCCACTCATCCTCTTGTCCCACTCAGACCCAGCACCAAAGGACTCCTTGGCAGGACCCAGGTGTGCACAATTTGGGTTGCGCAGTTTGGCCCTCTGGTCAATCCAGATTGGCCCATTCCCAGTCCTCCTTGTTCATGTCCAGTTTCAAAGCAAGCGTTTGCACAGCACCGGTGGGCTTGCCCTGGCGTCATCTGCAAGGCCAACCCCCTCCCACAGGAGCAAAGGGGTCGCCCTGCACTGCATCCAGCCTTGGTCCATTGAGTGCAGTACTGTCGACACTGACTGGCAGCAGCGTTCCAGGGTTTGGGCCCTTTTTCCAGAGCTACCTAGCGATGCTGAGGATTGAAATTAGCACCAGCCACACACCGATCGGATGCCCTACCGAGCAATCATCTCATCTCCAAGCAGGTTTGAAAGTATTTAAAAACAGTGGACTGGGGGCGGGGGGGGGGGGAGATTAGCAGCATCTCTCACACCAGAGGCCTGTCTTCATTCCACTTCTCTGACCAGACATGTGACTTAAAAGGTTCAGGGCACAAGCCCAAAGAAGACGAATCTGCAAAGCGTGCACGTGTCAGTGTATCCATGCTAAGGAAGAAATGATTACTAGATGCATTCAAATTCCAAAAGAGGCAAAGATGGCCAATTAATTTCACATCCAAATAATCACATACCAAATAAATTATTGAATTCATTTGCACTCTGCCAAACCAAGGATCACGGTGTTGCCAAAGCATAATTTCCAGGCTGGGAGAGATTATGGGATACATGAGCCTTGGCAGCGCAGTAGCACCGTTAGAGTCCAGGCCGGGAGACCCAGTTCTAGTTCCCACTTGGTCACACAGCTCCCTGGGTGACTTTGGACCCATCACCGACTCTGCCAGCCTAACCGACTCACAGGATTGTTGTGAGGAGGAGAGTAAGGGGGGGGAGGACTACGTACGCCCCCGCGAGTTTCTTGAAAGGGCAAAAAGGCAGGTTATAAATAGAATGAGCAAACAGGCAAACAGACGTGTGCCCGCACACACTGCTGCGCACAGGGAAGTGACGGGGAACTGTCCCCTCCCCGGACACGGTCCCCACGTGAACCCCCCCGCTGCCCCATCGATTGTGAGGCTGCCACGAAAACGAGGTCTCTCATTAGCAGCAGCAAATGCCCGGGGCCCTGGATAAGGGACGTAGGGCCGGAAATGCCTGTCGTGCCTAATGACTCGGACTCGTCGTTGGCACGCGAGAGAGGGCCAGGAGCCCCCAGCGAGGATCAGGCTTTAGAACAGGAAGATTTCCACTTGGTGCCCATGGTGCAAACACCCCCCCCCCACCCCACTGCCACCTGGCTCAGAAGTTTCTGTACAAGTCCCTGGGGGTCGGGCTGGACAGTCTGCAGCCATGGAGGATGCCCAGCTGAGGAGGAGACTTCCACGCCTGGGCCAGTTAGAAGGGAGGCAAAGCGAGAGGAGGAGGGAGAGGAGTCTATCTAGCCCCCGGAGGGAGGGAGGGAGGGAGGGAGGGACGGACGCGGAGGTTGAGATCCACATCCTAAATCTCAGAGAGAGCAGAAAGGAGGGGGCAACGGTGGAATAAAAGGACTTTAAGCTTTTATTGCCTGCGTCTGTGTGAGTAATTGGGACGTGACTCCGGCCTCACGACCGGGCTCCAGACCACGCAGCAGTCCCAAGCCCAGACATCGCTCCAGGCGCCCCCCGCGTGTCCGAGTGCAAAAGCTCTGTCTGCTTGGACGTGCTGGAAGCGCCTCCATGTGAGGCCGACGCGCACCGCTCTGGAATGGCTGCGGAAAGAACGCCAGACGATCCAGGGCAGCCCAAGAAGCCTTCCGCACCCCTCCTGCGCATGAGCCGCAGCAAAGGAGCCCGGCGCCCACATCATTCGGGGCGCATTTCTTCACGCACCGGGGGCAAATGAGAATGAGAACAGTGCTGTAGGGTTATCATAAGCAAGAAACCCTCTTCCTCTCCCCACAGATTCTGACAAAACTTCAGAGGCATGAGGTCCTTTTCTGAAATTTGACAGTTGCTTAAATCCAAGCACACACTCCTCAAGGTGCAGAGAAGCCTCTGCCCATGTAAAGAGCTGAATCCAGAATGAAACGTCCCCTCCTCCCCTCTCTACAACAGCAGGACCGTTCGGCCCCATGTCTACGTGGGGGAAAGCCCTCTTTCAGGCCCTAGTTCTCTGCCTCCGGTGACAAAATGGCTCGGGCAAGCGGTGTACTTGCAGGTACTCAAAAACGGCTGTCCAGCTCGGCCCGCAGCAGCCCTCACGGGCCTCTTCTTTCCCTCCGCCATACCTGTACAGCCCCGCTGCAGCGTCAGATGCCATTTCGGCGCGAATCTTCCAGGACAAGCCGGGCTCTTTTGTCAGCACTTCCCGCAGGGTGCCTTTTTCACAGTATTCCACAACAATGGAGAACTCGGGAATGGGCCCTGATGCCAAAAAGACACAACCGGAATCGAGGCAACCATGGGTGTTTCCATCCGGAGTGCCTAGCCTTGCTCGGGGGCAGTGAAGATCCCTCTGGATCGAGCTGGATTCCAGCTTCAGGACATGGCATAGGTGGAAGGAGGGATCGGCACCAGGTGTGCTTGGAGATCCACAGACGATTGGTAAGAGAGCGGCACTTGTTAGAAAGAGCTACAGTGAGCCTGGTTGGGTGCCTTCTGGCCAAGAGGAGAGAGGAGGATGCTCAAGGCCAGGGCACGTCCTCGTGCCCAAGAATTAAAGGGAGAGGCAGCAGGAAGCACAGGCTGGCCAAATGCCACATAATCCACGGGTACCAAACCAGCAGGGCCCCTCCGAGCCCTGTGCCATTCATTTCAGCAAACACCCCTATTCTTTTGAAGCAGGTGGCCTCCAGAATTATTCTGCATCCAGCCCTGGCGGGGTGACATGGGTCTCCCAGGGCAGGATCCTGCCCACGCAACACCTTCACCCCAGAACACAAGTGGCACTCGTTGGCCAAGGACTTACCACTGTCATCGATACAAATTCCATACATGCGGAGGATGTAGGGGGACTCGAGTCTCTTTAAGGTCCTGATCTCTTCCGTGAAGACCTTCCTCACCGCCCTGGGAAAGGCAGCAAAGGATCAGTCAGGGGCATGAGGGAGACCGCCTCTTTTCCTTCTGCTAGGCCAGCGGCAGGGTGGAGGGAAGGGAGCTGCCCTTGGGGTGGAAACCTGAACTGGCACCGGAAGGACAGGATGCAGCTGGGCCGACGGGAACTGGCTCTACTGGGCCGGAGACAACGGACCCCAGGTGGCAAGCCAGGTACAGCTCCCTGAGGGCCTCTCAACAGCCAGGCCTGTCTGCTGCGACCATGGATGGCTCGACAGGATGGCTCATTTCTCCCTTCCTACCCAAACGGCCAAATTCCAGGCGGTGGCAATGGAACAAGACAAAGGGGAAAGGGCCCACACGGTGCAGCGCAGAGCTCCCTTGGCCGGTGCTGATGCCCTAGAAAAGGGCTTTGCAGAGCGGGGCTGGTGGGACACACGGCGGCTGGGAACCCCCACCCCGCGGGTGGAGAGGGCGTCCGCCACCGGCCCCGGCAGAAAGCCCCGCAGAAGGAGCCGCCGAGCCGTTCCTCGGTTGCCTGTGAAGGCTGGCGGGCACGAGGTCCGCCAGCCCCCTGCCCCTCGCAGAGCTTCCCGGAGACCCTCACTTTGTGTTGGTGGTCAGAGGATTTTTGAAGACTTTGATGGCCACGGGTGACTTGTAATATTCTCCCTTGTACAGCGTGTAATGCTTCATCTCCGATACAGGAGTCGTCTTGACTAGCAGTCTCTTGTCTATCTCCGTGATCTCGAGGTGGCCGTCTGCCCCCTCCCCTAGGGCAAAAGGAAGGGTGTCAGCAATGGGGCCATGGGAGCACAGCCCAAGAGGGAGACGGGGGGCCCACACAGGGGTCTCCTAATGTCTAAGCCCACACAGTCAGGATACCATATTGGACGGGGTGAGTAAGCCCCCCGTAGGGAGGGTGGGCTTCTCTCAGATGTGGGCTGAGGGTCCTCCTTGTCAGCAAAGGCCTTCCTTTTGCAAGAGGCAGCTACCAGCCCAACCCAAAATGAGCACTTCTCCCCTCTGACAAAGAGGATTGTGCAGGCAAACCTATTTATTTATTTAGGGGTTTATATCCTGCCTTTTTCCTCAAAGGGCTCAAGGCAGCTTACATCTCCTCCTCCATCTTATCCCCACAACAACAACCCTGTGAGGTAGGTTGGGCTGAGAGCCTGTGACTGGCCCAAAGTCACCCAGTGGGCTCCATGGCCAAGCAGGGACTCGAACCCAGGTCGTCAAGAGTCCCAGTCCCGTGCTCTTAACCACTACACCGCACTGCCTTATGCCATAGCAGGTGGCCTCCAGCAGGCCTCCAACACAAGGCCTGCAGCTGGACCAGCCGCTGCACCCTCTGCCGGCCCAAGTTGGCCTCCCTCCTCCCTCCTCTCCTGCCCCATCCCTGCCCCAAGAGGAAGGGACTCCACAAAGCACGGGTGCACCTCTGAGCATCTCCTTCCAGCAGACCTTGTCCTCCGCAAGATCCTGGCTACCCTGCTTGTTCACAACACCCTTCTCGAAGTTCGCCAAGATCTTCTGCTCCACTTGCAGCTGCAGCAACAGGGCCTGGCCGACGTTGCCAAAGCGCTCGTTCTGGTAGGCAAACTTCTCCAGCATGTCACCGGCCTTCACAAACTTCTCCAGATGGTTCCAGCCCTCATACGTGCCAAACATCTGCTGGGTCTCCTTCATAAGGACCAACATCTTCTGCAGCACCCATGTCAGTTCAGGGGACAGCTCCTTGGCAGGCCTGTGCCGGAGAAGTCTGATGGGTTGCAGCAAGAGCTCCATGCGTTCCACCAGACGCGCTCTCTGCTTCTTGCAGCTCTTCATGCGCTGGCACTGGCCGTAGATGGCTTGTGAGGTCTTCAGGATGCCCTCCACAATGTCCATGGCTACAAGAAGCAGAGCAGAAGACAGTTCGAAAGGGGAATCTAGGCAGAAGCAAAGTCACTATTTGCTTTACTTTGGGCAATTTGCTCTTTTGAAATGAGCTGGGGGAAATGGGTCCGGTACGCAGATGTGCACAGATGTCACACTAGTGCAGGAGTCAGCAACCCGCGGCTCCGAAGCCGCACGTGGCTCTTTCGTCCCTCTGCTGAGGCTCCCTGTCGCTCAAAATATGCGCCACAACTGCCAATGTGCAACACCAGCCGGCACGCTATTTACTGAGCTTTTTGACCCCCCAGTAGGCCAACCATGGATAAATCCAAGAAAAGAAAAGTTTCAGAAGCTAACAGAATGTTTAATGGTACGTGGGCAGATTCATTTGCTTTCACTGCTGACGAGACTGGTTTACCAGTATGCTTAGTATGTGGTGAGAAATGGGCAAACAACAAAAAGTCAAATGTTGCAAGACATTTCCAGAATAAACACACAGCCTCTGCTGAAAAATATCCGGATGGAGATGGGAGGAAAAAAGCCGTTTTGGAACTGATGCGGAAGGTTGATCTGAGCAAAAATCATTTCAGGAAGTGGATTAAGTCTGCAAGTTTGGGAAATGATTCTGTAAGTTCAGAGAGGAAAAAAACACATTTTCCTTCCCTGTCACTCCCCTGACCATCGACCCATCCCTACGGAATAGGACCGCATTTGCAGGTGTAAGTCAACCCAGCCTTGAGATGGAGCCGGCCGACATCGCCGACGAGGATCTATGGGCGCCCGAGTTCAAACGCTTGACAGCTCATCTTGAAGATGTTGCCTGTCAGAAGGCCATTCTTGCTCAGAATCACAAATGGAGTGATATTGCAAACCTTCCCAAACCGGACAAACTTGTGCTCGAAACATGGAATGCCATCCCTGACTCTTATATGAACATGAAAAAGTATGCATTTGGAGTCCTGTCGATCTTCGGCTCGACATACATATGTGAGCAGGTCTTCTACAACATGAACTAAATTAAAAAGCGACCATCGCTCACGCCTCCCAGACGACAGCTTACAATCCGGTGTGAAGGTGAAGGCGACACCGTACAGCCCCGATGTGCGGATGCTGTGTGCTGCGCTTCAGGAGCAAAATCACATTAACCAGGTAAAATAAATATCTTAATTGGCTATTATTTTGCAAATATATATTTTACATTCTTCAGTGAAACAGTCCTTTTTCATTCAGGTTGACAGCTGACTGCACCCTCCAGTACACGTGATAAAAGGATGAGGGCACACAGAAGCAGGCGGCATTTTTGGTTTGCTGCAGGTGGATAATTTAAGTTCGGCTTTTTATTTCATAAATATGAGGAGGACTCAAATAGACATTGAGTATTTTATTTGAAAGTAACCTTCAACCTTTGAACCTTCCCCAGAGTTCAAAATGTTTTGGTTGCATGCAGAAATAAAAATTTGTTTTCTCTCTAGTAGTTCATTGATTTCATAAATGCAACACAGTATAGTTTTTTATACATAGCATAAAGGTAAAAAAACAATATATGCCATGTTATCTTCATTTTAGATGTCAAAGGGGTTTTGTGGCTCCCGGTGTTTTCTTTTCTGTGGGAAACGGGTCCAAATGGCTCTTGGAGTGTTTAAGGTTGCCGGCCCCTGGCCTAGGTCATCCTGATCTTTGTGGAACCAGCAATGGTTTATTGATTGCATTTCTATCCTGCCCCAGAGCCAGAGCTCTTCTTGGTGTTCACATCCACAACTGCACAAAGCTACTCTCCTTTCAAAAACGTTACTTAGATGCTCTGAGCAAAAAGCTGCACTGGCACAAGATGAAGAGCGTGGAAGAGAAAGACTTTATTTGGGGCCGCCCTTGAAGACGGGAAGCTCGTACAAGACGCAGCAGCCAGACTAATAACTGGGACCAGCCTTTCCTCTACTGCAGGACATTTAATTAGTTCAGGCTTTGTTAGTTGTTTAATCTGGTTCAGTCAGGTTTTATCTTGCTTAAAGTCTTGCGATGTTACATGCGTTTTAAATCATGGAATTCTAGAGTTGGAAGGGGCCAAGAAGGCCTCTGGTCCAACCCTGCAGGACACCAAGTCACACCCTCCCTCTCAGAGGGCTGCCCAGTTTCTTTCTGAATGTCCGAGGGGATCTTTTAGCAACTTGTCGGTCGGATTGTGAGGGGACGCCATGTGCAGGAGGGCCGTGAGCTGTTCTTCCCTGAGGTGGAGGGCAGGATGCGTTCTGCTGGGGCAAAGCTCAAGGACCGGGCTTCAGGCTGGGTGCCAGGAAGTGCCTCCCGATGGTTAGGACCCCGAGGGGGTGGCATGGGCTTCCCCGGGAGGTGGCGGAGGCCCCGTCACTGAGGGTGGTCACGGACAGACTGGCAGCCGCACGCTGGGGATCGCATGAGCAGAGTCGGCCGGAGCCGGGGGCCAGGGGCTAGCCTAGGCGGCTCGGGAGGATGCTTCGGACTTGCTCTGATTCCACATTTCTATGAATCACTGGTGGCCCCTGGGCTGTGGCTGCAGAGCAGCGCCTCCAGCCTAAATCGGGCCTCCGGTTTCTCCTGGAACGCGTTTTCCTTGAACCTCGGCTGTGGGCAATGGGGCAGAGGCCAGGGAGTCGTCCTCAGAGCGGGTACAGAGATGCTACAAGAAGGCTTGGAGCAGTGGGGCAGGCTCCCCCAGTGCGCCCCGCCCAGCCCCACACAGATGGGCTCCTGGCGCTGCCACCATTTTCTTCCCTCCGCTGATTTGCGTCTTTTTTCCCCTGGTATGAAAAAAGTCGGGAGGCTGAGGGGGCAGGCCCTGGCACTAAATCCCGACAGTCGTCTAGACAAAATAATCACTGCATCTCACGCTGGACATGAAGGCCTGGAAGCTCACCAGTGCCCAAGCTTATGCGCCCCAAGGGGGCGAGGATACAGGACTGCACCCTAAGATATGGACCCCTGCCCTGTTTTCGGGAAACCACACCTGTGCCGGCCTGGGACGGCTCACCTCAGGAATCGGCCAAGTCTCTGCCCTGCATTCCGCGTCAGAGAAATTTACGGGGTGCAATGGAGTTTTGACCTCCGAGAAGGACACAGTTCTTCACTTTGAAATGCTCGGCAGTTCCTTCTGGTGCCCACAGCGCCTCGTTACTGGCGATCTGATGTCTGAAGGCAGCCTCCATCCTGCTTTTACTCACTGACGTCCATTTGCCGGGGGACTTGTTGCAACAAGAGACGCGCAGGGAACTGGTCAGAATTCCCGTGAGTCTTCTTGAGGCATCACGCCAAGGCAGCAAAGTTTCCTTTCACCCCTTGCATTCTCTCAACTCTAATTCCGCTCCCACTGCCTCCATATACATTTAATATAAATTCCATATGTCCCCAGCATACAAACCCTCGCATGGCATAGGAGAGCCCCAGAGTTCCCCATCCCCCATCCCCGCCCTTGCTTCACCCGAGGCCCCGATCCCGTACCTTCCTTCTCAGCTTCGGCCTCCTTCCCTCTTGCTGTGCAATCAGAACTTAATTCAAATACTTCAGGAAGTTTGTGCACTTCCCCTTCCACAGGCTGACTCTGACTTCCTGCAGAAATTTGACACAGCCAACGGTGCAATCGGCAAAAAGTCCTGCCAGGGAATGGGAGCTTCGTTTTCTGTTTCCTTGTGGTAGGAAATGCACTTTGCAAAAACCCGATGGGGGCAAGAGCAGGCGGGGAGGGGAGGGGAGGGGAGCTGGCTTGCACTCTGCTCCTGAAAGCCACCCAGCTGAGCAGCGCTGCCTCGATGCGGAACTGTTGCTCGGCTGGTGCTCTTGCGGCAATCGGCTGGGTGCAGCCCCACTTCCTGCCCCAGGGAAGACCTGGGAGTTGGGGCGCTCTGGGACAGGCAGCCCCGCTTTCCGTCTCGCCCATTCGGCAGCAGCCCCTTCAAGTGGCATGGAAGTGCATTTGAACTGCCTCCACAATTGCCCCTGTGGGCAAGCAGGAAGGGCCAGATGGAGAGCCACTTGGGTGGCCCACAAATGTGGTGGACTACAACTCCCACCGTCCTCAGAAGGCATGGTGAAAGGGAGCTGTGGGATAACACGCCTGGGGTGGCCACCTGGTCCTCGAGCAAAGCCTTTGCCCGCCCCTGCTGCCGGTTCGGGGGTCCCATCTCAGGAGCCCTGCCCCCTCCGGCTCCCCAGTCCCCCTGCCTCACGCAAAGCCCTCCTCCCGGATCGCCCCGGCCCCGGCCCTTTGCACCACTGGCTGAGTTCCCGGCCTGTGGCCTTCCCTTGCAGCCCTTCCTGTGCCTCGTGCCTCCTCTTCCTCTGGCCCACCAACCAAAACACCGGCTGGGCAGGGCGAGCCCCTCCATACCTGCTGGGTCATAGAATCATGAGGGAGTTGGATGGGGCCGTGAAGGCCATCGGGTCCGCCCCCTGCTGGTGCAGGAGACCACCTGGCACCCTCCCACTCAGAGGGCTGCCCAGTTCCTTCTTGGATGTCTCCAGTGCCTCGGGCCGCAGCTCCCGGGGTCACTGGCCACACCGGCCGGGAACAACGGGAGCAGCAGACCAACACCTGGGAAGGCTCCCCAGTCAGGGAAGGCTGCCCAGATCGTGGGGCCTTCTGCCACAGGTGCCACGAGCGGCCACAAGATGGCAGCAGAACTCTGGATGCACACTGACCCATCCTGGAGGTGCCCAGTGGCATTTTGGCTAGCGTTAGGAGCCGCCATTGGTAGAGGCCTTCCCCGCACAGGCCTCCCGCAGTTCTTGTCGCCCTCCAGATGTTTGGGCCCAGGTGTCCTCCTGTCGCTTGCAATGAGGCCAGGTCAGCCGAGGACAAAACATCTGGCGGGAACCCCTGTGGAGCCCGGACAGTGGAGGAGCGTGCAAGCCTTCTGAGCAGAACGGAACCGCGGCACCCGTCGGTCTAGGAAGCAAGCAGCCAAGGAATCCTGTCTCAGCAGCTGCCGAAAACCTGAGAGCGAGAGAACCGTTGCTGGCCCCCTGAAGGTGCTCCAGCTGATGGACTCCTCGAAAACCCTCCGTGTCGAGGCTGTTTCTCGTGGCACATCGGCGGATTGACAGCTCGCCCAGAACGAGCACTTCTGCCCTGGATACGTGCCCCGAAGAGTGCGGCCGACCCATGGGCGTCCTGGTGGGCCTTGGGCATTTCATGGGCTAGCGCAGGGCTTCCGTTCTCTGCCTCTGCAGAAGCCCACCTGGGCCTCGATGCAGGCCAAGGGTTCACCTTCCAGCTGCTCGCAGATCGCAAAGGCTGGACAGGACGGCCTGCGATCCTCGCTTTGGGCGGCTGGCAGTCCTCTCCTTGAAGGGGCCGCCAGTTGAAAAGGCTGCAGCCAAGTCCAGCTTAAAGGCAAAGGACCAGAAGGGGGGGGGTCCTGGGCCCAGGGCACGGAGCAGAGGCCCCAGGACACGGGACACGATCCTGTGCAGGGCAGGGCAGGGCGAACCTGGCAGCATCCCGGAGTGGCCGAGTGAGGAAGGGTGCAGAAGCCAAGCCTGGCGAGCAAGAGGGCTGAGGCAGCCATGAAGCAAAGAGCTGGCCCTCCTCCCAGTGCTCCCAGCTGGTGCTCATCCGGGCACTGAGTAGTCCAGCAGAACCGGGACCCATCCTGCAATTACTGCTCCAGCTGTCTCGGCTCCGGCCACCAGGTGGAGCCCCAGAGCTGCCCAGTCCGGGCAGAGGAAGCGCAGGCGGGCTTGGAGCCGGCACTTGGGGGGCAGGCTGGGCATCACAGGGCCAAGGGCGAAGCCAAGTGCGTGTATGGGGGGGTCAGCTCAGGCAACAGGTGCTGGGGGCAGCAGCAGTGTCTTGGAGAAGAGAGCAGTCTGCCCTGTGCCCCCCAAGCTAACCTGCTGCTGCCAGTGAAGTGGCAGGATCTGCCCACCGCGCCTCTTGGAACCAGGCTCAGGCGCCGTTCTGGCAGGGAGCCCCCCCCCCCCCGGTTCTTTGCCTCTGCCTGCAAAATGTCTCCACCATCAAGCCACTGTGCTCCCCACGACAACAGTGGCGATTTATTCGCTCTTGCGCCCATTTTCTTTCCCTTCCATGCTACCCAGCGCGATGCAATGGCAACCCGCATGGCAGTCAGTTTGCATGCTGGGACCCTCTTGCCCCATTCACTGTTTCCCCCAGGAAGAAAAGTGTGGAAAGGGAGGCGTTTCTTCTGCCGGCAATGTGTTTTGACACAGCGCTCATTACACGCTGGTGCCAGCCTGCGAGAGATTTGGGAGCAGGCCAAAGAACATCGTCTGGCGAGGTCTCCTTCAGGCAACGCGGCTCGACGTTAAATCGCTCCCCAAATCGTTGCTTCATTCCTTGTTTTCGTCAGGCACTGAGTCATTTCTGACTTGCAGCGACGCCGTGAATTCGAGTTCCCTCAGACTCCAACTGCGACTCCCTAGCTGGACCTGTGCCACCTCCTTTCAGCTCCTCTGTGAGCTGGCCAATTTTTAATTTATAGTGCAGATACTTCTATTATCTTACTCAAGAGCTACACCTGCAGCAATTTGTACCTGAAACAGAATCACATGCCTTCGGATGCAAAAAACAAGAGATTTCCACTGGAGCTTCAAAAAGAGTGGAGGGAAGCACTTCTTTAGCATGGGATTGAGATAGATTTATTCCACACACTTCTCCTTTCTGATTTTGTAACTTGTACTCACAAGGGAGGAGGGAGCCTGCCATCTCCAGGTGTTACAAAATGCTCATCACATGTGCAGCAAAATATTGGCCAATAACGGCCTCGCTGACCATGCCTGGGACGCTGATTTGCAGAGCTGGCTCCGAAGTCTCCATGGCGGAGAACATTCCTGGAGCGTGTGCAGCGGAATTGTCCTTGTTTGTGCAGCCGCACAGAACACAACGTCACAGGCGCCACCCTGAAATGCTTCTCTGGCGCTCGCTCTCTCTGCACTTACCCGGCGTTGTGCTTCCATTTCCCCATTTTGCTTCATACAGGTGGGCCAATGCTCAGATCCCAGGCCTGTTCCTGACCCCACCTGTCTTCTTTCAGGTGTAAAGCCGACTGTTTAAGGCTGCAATCCAGTCCTCTGTCCCAGATGCATGTGTGTGTAGCCGCTAGGTCTTGCCCGACCCACCACGACCCCACGGACAACATTCCTCCAGGCCCCCCTGTCCTCCACCAGCCCCTGGTCCACCCGAGCCCACACCCACCGCCCCAGGGACCCCATCCAGCCACCCAACCTCTGCCGGCCCCGTCTCCTTCTGCCACCAATCGTTCCCAGCATCAGGGTCATCTTCTCATGAGGTGGCCAAAGCATTTGAGCTTCGTCCTCAGTATCTGGCCTTCTGGAGGAGGTCGATTTCCTTCGAGACGGACCGATCTGCTCTCCTGCCAGCCACACACCCAGGCGTGGTGCTGCTTTTTGGAGCCCACCCGTCGGAGTGGCTGAGCAGCAGATGTGCCAGACGCCACTGGCAAGCGCCGCTGTTCGCTCAGGCCTCCCTGGCTCATCGCAGGTCACAACATGGCTGTTTGCCTGCCTCTGTTGCTGTGTGCACACGGTACTTGTTGGGGACAGCAGTCTGGGGGCCCCACCGGATGCTGCAGATCTCCTGTTTACCCCCCACTGACAAAGCTGTGAGCAAAGGGGAGGAGACCTGTGGCTGCTTTGTTTCCCCTTGCCCCAGCCCAGCCACTACGGCAAGTGGGGGGGGGAGGGGGCATGTGGGCAGGTGGGGAGAGGAAGGCAGGCTAGACAGGTAGCATCCAGTGGCAAACGGAGGAATCAGCTGCTGCTGCCTGCCGGCTTGCCCTGGGAGAGCCAGAAGAATTCAGACTTGCAGCCCTCCTTACAGTATGTCGGGATTCCCTTATCTTATTTTGGGGTGCCAATTTTGGGGTGCTACGTTGCCTTGTGCATGCTTTTACTTACTGTAAATCCTGGGATGCTGAACAGCCAAATGGAGGCATAGAAGTGCCGGCGAGCAGAGCATGATGGGGCAGGAAGGGGCAAAGAACCGAGCAGGGAAGTGCTTGCGAACTTCCTTTAACAGGCTCCCCCTCCTGGGATGACCCGAGACTGAAACACACCTTCGCACGTGGAATGAGCCTGACCCAAAGTGGGAAAACAAGAGTCTGAGAGAGGCCAAGCTGGGCCGATCCTGCCCCGCTCCCTCTGTCCTTGAACACGGAGCAGCACGTGCGTTGAAAAGGTTTACTTATTTCAAAATATACACCGTCTATGTACAATCATCTCATGCCTCCAGTTCAATCTAGCTTCGCACTTACGTTTAAAAAAAATCTATGCAGTAAACGGTAGGCAGTGGGGACCCCAGGATCAGGCTGCGTCCGAGATCAAATGCCATCTCTCTGCAGTTGAAAGAGGAAAGCTCCCCAGAGCAGGTTGCAAGTCCCGTCCAAGCAAGAGCAGCAGCAGCAAAAACGTGCAGGTGATAGTGCTGGGCCAGAACCGGCCTGACAAAACCCCTTGGCCGCCCCCACCTTTGGGGGCGCGATGTGCGTGCGCCCTGTCGCTGGAGGTGGGAGCTCCCTTGGGGAAGCACCCTGGCTCGCGGGAAGCAATCCAGCTGTGGAGCAGGGCTGCGGAGGCACCCCAGGGCCGGGAGAGGCAGCCAGGGTCACACCTGGCAGGCCGGGCCTTCAGCCCCGCGGGAGCACAGGTACTGCACGGGAGGCAGCGCAGGGAGCAAAGCTCTGGCCCAGCCTCTCGCCCGGGCGCCCGACCCTCGTGCCCGCGCCCCGCACACGTCCTGCTTCCCGGCTGGCGAGGGTCCCCTTGCTCACACGGCCGTCTCCGAGCATCTCCAGAGCACCGCCTGGAACTGGCTTCTCCCAAAGGAATGTGGCCTGGGGGCCCAAGAACCCACAGCCTCCTCGCCAGGTTCCCACTCCCAGCATTCCTTGCGGGATCCTGGGGTGCAACTGTTCACCCCTTTCCCAGCCTGCCAGCCTCCAGAATCCCGGGCCACCTGTGAGGTTCCCCGTCTCGGCCACCCGCACCTACAGCCCTTTCCTCGGCCCTTTCTCTCCTCTCCAGACCGAAATCGTGGAAGACATTGCAGGAAGCTGTTTTTCCCACTTGGAAAAAAGCAGCCAGCTCTTCAAAAATCCTTTTCAACCTTAGTTGCAGAGTTTATGTGTGTGTGTGTGTGGGGGGGGGGCTTTTCAGAGGGGGTGCTGCTGGGAAGAAAAGGTTAACCCCCCCCCCCAATTTTCCAGTGATTTTCTCCCTGGAAAATTCAGCCCTCCCTCAGGTGGGAAAAGATGGAGACCCTTTCCAAGGCTAAATGGGGCGGGGGGAGGTTTTGTGGGGAGGGCCACTGCCGGGGAGCAGACAGCTAGTCCTCCCCACTCCAAAACTGGCCCCCTCCAAAACTCGCTGCACCCTACCCCGTGAGGTGTGTGAGCAGTTCCTCGCCGATGCCGCCTGCTTCCGAGCACCTCCATGTTGCCCCGGCACAGCTGAATGCCGCCCCAGAGAAGGCAGGCAGGGCGGGGGGCACCATTAGGCACGCCCCCTCCCAGGGGACCACTGTCATCCTGCCTGCTTGCCAGCTAGTCAGTGGCATCACACCCTGGACCACCACCTGCCACGAGCATCTCTCGCTGTGGGGAAAGCAAGCCCAAGTCAGCCAGCCCCAGAATCCAGAGTGCGCAAGGGCAAGGAGACCCCGAGGCTGCCTTATCCGGGGGAGCCAGGAGGCAACGGGGCCCTTTGGCATGGCGGGCATGCGGCATTTTCTGGAGGAGCAGCGTCTCCCTCCCAGCAGGGAGGCCGAGGGGGGAGTGCATCCCTGTCCGGAAGCTGCCGGCGCACACCCCACTGACTCCGCTTTCTCCGCCCCACTGCTCCCCAGTCCTGCGAGGCCACTGCCCCCTGGCTCCTGGAGTCACCAGCAACACGAGGACGAGGGGCACAGAGCCACAGCGGCAGCATCCCCTCCAGTGCGGAGAAGCGGGACGGGCGGGCCAGCCCCGAGCCTCCCAGCCGCGCCCGCCATGATCTCTGCGCTCACGTGGCACCTCGTGGTAGCAGCTGCAGGCCGCCTCGATGCCCCAGGTGGCGTGATTCAGGCACTTGCTGAGGCAGGGCCGAGGCCGGGCGGCACCCGTAACAGGGAGAGGGGAGTGAGCCGATGCGAAACAGATGGCAAATGACGGGGCGACGTTTGGCAAATTAATGGACTGTGAAGAAAACAGTGCACACAGAGCCGAGCGGAGCCCAAGATCGTTTTCGGAGGGTTTGCGGACAGCGCTCTTGCGGCTGTGTTGGGACAGAAGGGTGTGTCTGTGTGACTGTGCAATAGGTAAGTTGGGCCACACTGGCTGCTACTGATTGCAAATGTGTCCACACCACCTTTAGCAGGTGCAGAACTCCGCCTTTCTCACACGCTCTTCGCTTTAAAAAGCCACCCGCCTCCGCCAGCCATGCTTCCAACCCCCCCCCCACACCCCCAGTGCTTTGGAAACAGGCGGGGGGCTTTTGCTGCCCTGTGGGGAGGGAAGGATAACACCAGTGCAGACACCGATCAAGGACACTGGAGCGCAAGTGCCCCTGTCTCTGGACGGCCAGCGAGGCCCCGTGGCTCCCGCCCCTGCCTGTTCCCGAGGCCTGCCTCCCAGCCTGGCTCGTGAAGCTAAACTGCGGAATTTGCAGACCGGAAAGTCCTTCCCCTTGGCGAGACAACCAGGTGGGTGACACGCAAAATGTACACCGGGGGGGCGGGGGGGGTCTACTGCACAATCCCTTTGCAAGGCTGCAGCCCGTCGCCCAACACCTACACACCGGGAAACCAGCGCAGGGACAGCTCCGGCCACCCTGCGCCAGGGACGCAATGCCTCAGGCCAGGCTGCTGCGCAGGCGCCAGGTGGAATCGGTGCACGTGCAAAACAAGGGTGATGTGCGGATCTCGGGTGCGCCACAGGATGATCCTCTGTTTGTCCCTCGTGCCCTCCCCCTGCGTGTTCCAGCCCCGCGGCCCCTCGCCTCCCCAAAGGAACCTGCACAGATCACCGAAGCCTGAAAGCAGCACAGCACAGAGCAGTCGTCCTCCTCCCGGGTCGCGGCCTTGCTTCGGGCCCCCGGGCTCTCAGTTCGGCAGAGCCCCCCAGATGGCAGCCCCGGCCTGCGTGGAGCAACCAAGGCCACTGCTGCCGGACGGGGGGCGGGTGCTGCAGCTAGCCGTCTTTCTCAAAGGTCTCCTCTGGAATGAGCGTCTGAAACGGATGGTCCCAGAATGTGCTGGTGATACCGAAGCCTGGAATGGCAGGGAGAGGGGACAGAGAGGGAAAGAGGGGTAAGTTGGCTCTGGCGCAGCCTGTTGGCGAGGTTTGGCCTCTTTTGGGGAGAGGGCCGTCCCCGGGGGCTCGGAACGAGAGAACCGGGAGGCGGCAAAAGTCCTGCTCTGTTCGGAAAAAGGGGCGGCCCACGATGCTTGGCAACAGATCAAGCCAGGGCAGGGCCCCGTGGACGTGCCCCTGCGGCCTCCCAACTTCCTCCACAATGCGAGTTAAATCTTACATCTGTTGTCCATCCTGCCCCTTTGTCTGACTTAATTATTTAACCTCAGCACATGGAAAACAGGAAGGAAAATAGGAAGGTCAGGATTGCTAAAGCAGCTGTTTTAAAGGTTCCATCCAGAGAAAGTACTTTCCATGCTGTCCATGGGGCAACTACGCATTGCAAAGGATTCTGGGGCATGCTAGAGCATTCTGGGAAATGAAAATGCCAGGCACAGTTCAAAGTGGGCAAAACAGAATCCTAACTCTGCCTATGCACCGATTGAGCCTGCGATGCCTGACCAAAATGGGGATTGTGGCGTCATGCGGAATCGTTCCATGAAAACGTCAGCCTGGTGCTTGGGCTTCCACGGCTGGTGTGGCTTCCAGAAGCCACGGTCCTGGTTTGCAGTAGGGGCTGCTGCTGCTGCTGCGCATGTTTCGGCTGCCCTGGGAGGACGCCACGGCTCACTGCGTCCAGGACACCCAGAATCCACAGCCTGTCCTTGGGTAGCTTGTTCTCCAGAGTAGCAATGGACCCTGCTCAGGTTCACACACAACGATGAACAATGGCAACTGCCCACTGCAGCTTGCGCAGAGTCGTAATGGCAAAAGCAGGTTGCTTACCTGTAACTGATGTTCTTCGAGTGGCCATCTGTGCAGTCACACATATGGGTGCTGCGCCTGCGCAGTGCCTTTGGCCGGAAGATTGATAGCTAACGGTTTTTGGCTGGAAGCTCCGCTCCCCCTCCCCATTGTGGCCTATAAAGAGCGGAGCGTCCGCCATTTTGTTCAGTCTTTGCGACCGAACATACGGTATCTTAATGGATTTTTTTTTTGTCGGTACCGTAAAGGAGATGGTTGGTACCGAAAATGCCCTCTCTCATCGACATTGAGCTGTCGATGCATCCACTCACCGACACCGAGCGGGGGCGGCGGGCGGGTTGTGTGACTGCACAGATGGCCACTCGAAGAACATCAGTTACAGGTAAGCAACCTGCTTTTCTTCGTCGTGGCCTCTGTGCATCACACATATGGGTAGATTAACAAGCTTACCATCAGAGGAGGGGGGAAGGTGTCCTTATTGTAGGACGGAGGAGAGAACAGCTCTACCGAAGGAGCAGTCCCGTCGAGCCCAAACATCGAGACGGTAATGCTTGGCGGAAGTGCAGGGATTCGCCCAAGTAGCGGCTCTGCAGACGTCATCAATCGGAACCCCGGATGCGAATGCTGAAGACGTAGCGACAGCTCTAGTGGAATGGCCTCGGGGAACTGTAGGCAGTTCGAGCTTAGCTAACTGATAACACAAGACAATAGTGTGGACTATCCACTTAGAGAGCCTTTGTGGAGTGACTGGGTCACCCTGATCTCTAGCCAAATATTTGATGAACAGTTTATTGGATCGCCGAATAGACTCCGCTCACGATCGATAAAAGGCTAAACAACACCGAACGTAGAGGGAGTGCAAGGATCTTTCCAAGGGATTCGACGGCGATGGAAAAAAGGCAGCAGTACAATGTCTTGTCCTGGATGGAAAGGTGTAGAGACTTTGGGCAAGAAAGATGGGTCGAGACGTAAAATGACCTTTTCTCTGTGGAAGTTTAGATAAGGAGGGTCGACGCGGAGGGCACAAAGCTCACTAGCTCTCCGGGCTGACGTGACAGCTACAAGGAACGCCGTCTTCCACGAAACTAATCGGAGATCCACAGTCGCCAAAGGTTCAAAGGGGGCCTTCATAAGGGCCTGTAGAACTACAGAAAGGCTCCACGTGGGCATAACCGGTCTAATCGATGGATTAAGATTATACAGTCCTTTCAAAAATCTCTTGAGGATAGGATGAGAAAATAAGGGTGATCCGTCGACTAAGCCACGGTGGTAGGCTATTACGGCTGTATACACTTTAATAGAAGACGGCTTCAGTCCAGAGTGATGCAACTCCAGAAGGAACTGAAGAATTTGTTCGATTGATGAGACAAGTGGGGAGAACGCATGAGACTCGGCGAAGGTGGAAAAACGTTTCCATTTAGCCGTATATGACTTCCTTGCGGACGGCTTTAGGGCAGAGTCGATAATATGCTGAATCTCAGGGTGCAAGAGCGTTGGGTTCGAATTCGACGGGGTCTGTCTCGAACCGGATGGTACGGAGAGACTGTGGCAGTGAGAGGCACCCGCATGGTTGGATTCGAGAATCGGAACCGAGGCGGTCGAAGTAATCGTCGATACCGATGGATTAATAGAAGCTGTCGGATTCGAGGCTCTCGAATCCGTCGTCGGCCCCAATGGAAGGTCAATCATCGAATCCGCCACGCTGTCAGGTTCAATGAGAGCAAGTCCGGGTGACGAAGTGTGCCGTCCATTTGCGTTATAAGATATGGAAGTGCCGGAAGATGAAGAAACTCCCCGTGGGAGATGTCGAGCAGTTTTGCAAACCACGCTTGGCGTGGCCACCAGGATGCAACTAGTATCCCCGATGCACAGTCGCTCACTATCTTCGCTATGACCTTCATCAGAAGAGGGATCGGAGGGAAAGCATAAAAGTTGATGTTGCCCCAAGAGATCATGAATGCGTCCCCTAGGGACGCTTGTCCGATTCCCGCTCTCGAACATTAAGTCTCGCACACCCTGTTCTGTTGGGTAGCGAATAGGTCCACATCGGGAAACCCCCAGCGCCTGAACAGGTGGTTGCGCGTGCGAGGATCCAGTTCCCACTCGTGCGAAGTGAAGATGTGTCTGCTGAGAAGATCCGCGTGCACGTTGTCTGTGCCGGCCAGATGAACGGCCATCAGAGTAATGTGTCTCGGAATGCACCAGTCTCAAATTCTCATAGAAAGCCTGGCTAAGGTCGGTGACTTCGTCCCTCCTTGCTTGTTCAGATAAAAAACGGTCGCTATATTGTCCGAAGTTATCTGAACGATCCGATGATGAAGAAGGTCTTCGAAAGAAGGGCCTTGAAGACTGCCAGCAGCTCTAGGAAGTTGATATGATTTGTGGATTCTAGACGAGTCCACATTCCGTGGGTAGACAGGCCAGAGCGTATCGCCCCCCATCCTAGGAGAGATGCGTCGGTACTGAGAGTTATCGAAGGAGGTCGCGTCCTGAAGGGGACTCCCATCACGAGATTAGTCGGTTTCAGCCACCAGGACAGGGGGTGGAGCACGGAAGATGGGATCCAAATCCATTTCGACTGTGGGTCTCTTTGTGGATGATACACCTTGTTGAAGAATAGTTGTAGTGGGCGAAGCCGAAGTCTGGCATGTGGAACTACGGAAACTGAGGAAGCCATATACCCCAGGACCGTCTGGATGGATCTCGCCGTAACCATTCCCTCTCTTCGGATTCGATGGATATGGCGAGCGAGAGTCTGCTGTCTGTCCTGAGGGAGGAAGGCTTTCTCCAACGTCGAATCCAAGTGGGCTCCAATGAAGGTGAGCGTCTGTGTCGGAAGAAGAGAAGATTTCTCTGTATTAATACGTAGGCCCAGACTATCTAGTAAGGTACAGGTTGTGTGGATGGTGTCTAGGAGTCCTTCTCTGGACTGCGAGACCAACAGCCAGTCATCGAGGTACGGGTAAATTTGTATGCCCTGAAGGCATAGGAAGGCACAGACAGGAGCCATGCATTTGGTAAAAACTCTCGGAGCCGTAGCCAGTCCAAAGGGTAAAACTGTGAACTCATAAAGTTGGCTTGCAACAGCAAAATGGAGGAAACGCCTGTAAGTTGGATGAATTGAAATATGAAAGCAGGCGTCCTTCAGGTCCAGTGAGGCGAACCAATCCCCTCTCCTTAACAATGGCAAAATATTTTGAAGGGTGGTCATACGAAACTTTCTCGGTATAATAAACTTATTCAAGTCCCGTAAATCCAAAATCGGACGTAGACCACCATCCCGCTTGGGGACCGTAAAGTATCTGGAATAGAATCCGTGAAGTCCATCAGATGGAAATACTTGATGAATCGCTCCTTTAAGGAGAAGTTGATGTATTTCATCGAGAAGTACCGGCGAACATGAAGTAGACCGGATCGGACTCGATGGAGGAATGATGTCGAATTCTATTCGATAGCTGTGTTGAACAATGGATAATACCCACCGGTCAGATGTGATGGACTCCCAAATGGGGAGTCGGCTTCGGAGCCGATCCCCAGATGAGAGGGGGGTGGGTATTAGAGGAGCATGAGGAGTGGTTCGCCAGTCCCGTCAGCGCTGCCTCCGATCGTCGAAACGACGGCGGCCCTGTTGGAAGCGCTGTTGGGGCTGAGAGCGGCGGTGCTGTTGATGCTGTTGTTGCTGGCGGTGTTGCGGCAGCTGTCTCTGCTGGTATGACTGCCTGTAGGATGGCCGATTCCAGGACCACTTACGTCTGCTGTGTGACTGGATCTCCATCCTGCGCGCCGTCATTCTTGACTCGTGAGTTTCTTGAGTTTATGGTTGGTACGTGAATGGAAGAGCCCGGAACCATCAAAAGGCATCTCTTCTATTCGCCGCTTGGTTTCCTCCGGGAAATTACAACTCCGAAGCCATGCGTGTCTCCGGAGGGAAACGGCACCGACCGAGGCCCGGGAGTCAGTGTCCACGTGGTGACGTGCCTGGACAACTGCTGCACCGCGACCTGCATGGCTTCTTTGATCAGGACCTTCACAAGGTCACCCTGGTGGTCTGGGAGGGTGGAGGCGACCTTGTGGAGGCGCTGCATAATAAAATATTGATAGCGCGCCAACGTCGCCTCGTAGTTGGAAATGCGAAGTCCTAAGCCCGAGGCAGCATAGACCCGCCTGGCCAGGGAATCTATTTTCCGGCCCTCCTTATCCCTCGGCGCCGTATGTCCCCTCGCCTCCCTGCCTTGCGAGGATTCGACGACCGCCGAGTTTGGTTTCGGGTGCTTTAGCAGGAAGGGGATGTCTTCTTCCCTGACCCTGTACATAGATTCATATCTCCTGGACGTCGGTTGAGGATGTGAAGGTAGGTCCCAGGGCTGCATCATCGCCTGCCACAGGGTAGTTATAAGTGGCAGAACGATGGAGGTCAATTGCTCCCTGCGGACGACATCGTAAAACTTGTCCATCGACGGTCCCGGGCGCTGGGCAGCGTCGATGTCCAGGGACTGGACAAGCCTCGACATCAGCTCCGCGAAGGAGACGTGTGACTCATCGGGTGACGCTGGATCCTGAGATGTCACGACGACGTCCGGGGAGGTTGAGTCTACTTCAGAGTCATCTGAATCAGCACCGTAGTATGGTGGGGCAGAAGATGATAACTCCGCTGGCGAGAAGGAGCGGCTGCTTCCGCTTTGCGGGGATCGAGGTGGCACCCTCCTTGAATCCACAGACCGCGGCTGGTCGCAGGACGGAGGTGAGGATCATGCCCTGGGAGCAGGGTAGTACCCCACAGAGAGCGGGTCTCCCCAAGGTTGGTAGTAGGGACAACGCCAACTCTCTGGGCGTTGTTCTACCGAGCGGCTCCTCCGATTCCCTGGTAGGAACAGGCCAGCTTCTGTCTCCAACGTCACCGCGGGCATCGGTGTCAGTGACCTCGCCCTAGGAGGGGAGTCCTGGATTTCCCCATCCGAAATAGACCCCCGTAGAGTTGGAAGGGGTGCAGGCGGGAGGTTGACCGCATGTCGGGGAGACCCTTGAGGGGTAACCCGCATGGCCTCCTGAAGGATTGGTTTGGGCGAGGTCGGTATCGTAACCTCCACCGGTACTGAGGGTCCCATCAGCTCCGAGTCCCGATGTCGGGGACGGTCCATGGACTTAGCCTTCTTTGGAGGCTTAGAGGCCTTCTCCTTTCTGGCCTTCTTATGGCCTGCTGGCTTCTCTTCAGCATGCTTCCACTTCTCATGCCTCTTTTTTGGTGAAGCAGAGGGGTCCACCGAAGCGGACGCACCTTCATCCGAAGGGCGTGAGGGTGGAGCCACAGAAGCGGAGCCAGGTTTTGGGATAGAGACGAGCGGGTCTGACTGCATCAGAGCCCTATCCCAAAGGAGCCTCCGAAGCCGGTTCTCGCGGTTCTTCCTAGCCTGCTTAGAGAAGGCTAGGCAATGAACGCACTTATCCGTCCTATGCCCCTCTCCAAGGCAGAGGAGGCATAGGTCGTGCAGGTCGGTAGGTGCCATTTTTGACCCGCAGTCCGCACATTTGCGGAAAGCCGCTCGCTACGCCATCGCAGAAGAAAAGAAGAAAAAGAAGAGAGATAGTGCAGAGGGTAAGTATATATTTTTGGTTGGTTTTCTTTTGATAGATCGAAGAAGAAATAACAAGAGAAAAACTACACAGAAGTGGGAACGAAGAAAGGAGAAAGCAGTATAAGGGCAATATATAAGGAGAGAACCAAGAACAGCCAAAGCGAAAGTCGAAAGCGGCACGAGGCACAGCGAACGGCGGTCGCAAAGACTGAACAAAATGGCGGACGCTCCGCTCGTTATAGGCCACAAGGGGGAGGGGGAGCGGAGCTTCCCGCCAAAAACCGTTAGCTGTCAATCTTCCGGCCAAAGGCACTGCGTAGGCGCAGCACCCATGTGTGTGATGCACAGAGGCCACGACGAAGAGCCAGCACGTGCCAGCTGCCCAACCGGTTGTAGTGGGACTGCAGGTCTCATGAGTTCTGCTAGGGCAGCCTTCTCCATCTTGTGCCTTCCAGACACATTTGGACTGCAACAACCAGAATTCCTTGTCAGTGGCCCAGAATTCAATTCACCCAGAATTCCCCGTCAGTGGCAGCAACCAGAATTCCCCATCAATGGCCCTGCAGGATTATGGAAGTTGTGGTCCAAATGCCCCTGACGGCCACCAGGTTGGGCAAGGGTCAAGGAGAAATATGGGGCAGTGTACCGCCCCGAACCCAGCATCCTCCAATGGCAGCCCAGGAGTCCAAAGACACTGTTACCTGCTCTCTGGTGTTCAAAATGGTGCTTTACGTGGTAGGCCTTAAGTCTGCACAGGTACGTCCCTTTCTTTGGTGACCCATAGTGCAGGTAATAGTGCATCATGTCATAGACAATGTAGCCAAAGAGACCCCCCGTGAAGATGGAGAGACCAAATGCTTCGGGAAACAAAGCTTGGACCAGAACGTAGAAAAAGCCGATGACCAGGGACGCTGGGACGGGCGGAAAGACCAACCGGGAATCATCAAACGGAGACTGAAACAGAACAAGGGCGCAGAATCAGTGCCTATTTCTATGCAAGAGGGCACATGTGTCTTCACGCCAAGTGGGGTGGGACTCCAGTTCCTACCACCCCCAGGCAGAGGCCCGTCTGGCATCTGCACAAAGCTTCTTCAAGACATCACCTCCCCAATGTTACAAAAACCTTTAGCTTTTAAACCTGAAGTTTTTTTATTAGGCATTATACTGGAGGACATTAGTAAACAAGAAATGTATCTGATTTTGCATGTAATCACTGTGGCGAGGATTGCATTTGCCCAACACTGGAAGAGTGAAGAACCACCTACCGACGAACTGAAACTAAAATAGATCCTGGACTGTGCAGGAATTGACAGATTGACTTTGTCATTGAAGGAGAAGGAAGATACTGACTTCTATCAAACTTGGGACTCTTTTTATTATTGGCTAGAGAAATGGGACTTAGCGTAGATTTAATATGTTTTTAAGTTTTTATGTTTTTATGTTTTTAATCTGGGGATGGCCGGGGAGTGAGCCACCTCTTTGCAAGGTGAACGAGATCTGTTTGTGCATGGGAGCGTCGCTCAGCCTCGGGCACGGGGTCCCCCTCCTTCAGTTTGATGAGCTCACCTCGCTCAGTTCCTGCCTGCCCCATCCGCCTGGACCCCTTTTACCTTGTGGTGCTGGCCATGTAACAAGAAGTGCAAGGTGATGAGATAATAGTTGCTGGCAGGCGGCCTCATGTGGAACAAAAAGCGATGGATGAGGTACTCCAGGAAGGACCACACAAACATGCCCACGAGGAAGAGCAAGGGGAACCAGTACTCGCGAATACGTATGGAATAAGCTGCAAAAGTGGGGAGGGGAGAGCTGTCAGTCAAGCAACCAACCAACCGATGCTTTGAGCATCTCAGCCTTTACAAGAGGAAGGGCTGTGGTGAGCCAAGTGATGCTTCTTCTGGGAAGTTCGGGAGCAGGCCGAGAATGGAACAGTCCTGCTTGCCCCCAGCACCTGCTGCTCGTGCAGAAGACCTCCTCCAGTCAGGGATGTTCCACTGAGCGATCACACCAGAGAGCTGTTGATGGAGCTGAGCTCCACCTCTGCTCTCCTTCCAAACTGCTGGGAAGCTCTGTCCACTGATCTTCCAACACTGGACCTCAAGCCCCTGGGGTGGGATCCTGTTCTGGTTCCAGGGCTGGACCCACCATGGCAAGCGCCCTCCTGGGATGAGCGAGTGGCCCGCCAGCACAGCGCCATCTGAACCTGGGCAGAAGGGGTGGTTGGAGGGGCAAACCATGGCTTCCTGGAGGGTGGCTTGAGGCTCCACCAAGGCAGACCCAGCAGGTCCGGATGACCCAGTTAGGACGCAGCCGGGCACCAACTGTGCCTGCCGCGAGGCGCCAGACACCCCAGGCTCAGAGCAGCCTCTTCTGATGGAGCAAAATCAAATAATTTGCTTATCATGGACGTCTCGTGCCAAGAACAGCCCAACTGCCAATTAAAACAAATCCAAGGTTTTCATGTTTACCAAGACCTGAAAGAGCTATTACATTTTTATACTGCTGATGGTATAGTCTCTCTGATAAAGAGTCTCTCTGGTAAAACATCTAGCTATGCAAATACAAAGTACTGACTCCTGCCCGGAATAATGGAATCTGGAAGCAATGGCTAAGTCCAGCCCACAGGCCATAAAGTTTCTCTTTATGCAAGGAGACCATTTCTTATCTCCGGCTTATAAAGCTGAACCTCGGTTCCAGCCTTCCTTAGGCATCCCACTCTTGATTTTGGGGTTCAGCTCGTTGGGTTTACCTCCCTATATAGAGAATACAGCTATTTGTCTGGAAGGAGGTGTCCGAGCTGCGCAAGTGCCCTAAAACAGTGTCTATGCTTGTATTTTGGTGCAGTTCCTCTTGGTTATACTAATTTATGGCTTTCAGACTTTTCTTTTAGTGGGTGGGTGAGAGAGATGGAGAAGAGGGTCCTTCGGCTGCGCTCCCCTCGAGATTGTGGGTGATCCCAGTTTAAAGCAGACCCTCTCTTGCACGGCGCAAAGACCTATGGGAGAACCGCAGTGGACCAATGCCCCTGAACCGCCCCTCCCACGTCAGAGCAACACATTCTGGCACACTGGGTCTCCCGTGATGGGGGAGCATCTGCAGGCAACAGATTGTCCTCTGCACTTTTGAGTGGGCGATTTAATCATCGAATCCCGGCTGGTGGGGCCTCGGGGCGCCTGGGAAGAAAGAAGAGAGTCCCCAGGACGTAGGCGGCACTGTGCTTGTGGGTGCCAAGCCAGCCTGCTGGCACTGCGGGCGGGGGTGGGAGGAGGCGGAGAGGAGGCCGCCCTCCCCGTCCCGGGCAACAGCCTAGGCTGGTACTGGACGGCACCCTTGGGTGAGGGGGAAGCTTTCCAGCCAAGGGCAAGGGACGGGCATGCCTCCAGCTGCAGCTGGAGCGGGAGTGTGGCTGCCGACTCTGCACAAGCCCTCCTCTGTGTGGGGCCTGCCTTGGGGTGGGGCTGGCCTGGGGAGCCCGTCAGACAATAGCCACTCTCTCTGAATGGCCACTGCCGAAACCTGTGCCGAAGACCTTCAGCGATGTTTCGAGGTGGAGTCATTGGTCAGGGAAAGCTGCACAGGAAAAGCACTCTGCCCATGCTCAGAGGCACACTTCTCAGGATGAACTGGGCAAGTTCTGTTAAACCATGCCAGGTGGGGGGGTGGGGGGGATTCTGCTAAGCAGTACCACCCTAAAACGACAGCAGCCGACAGCAGGGTGATGGACTCAGCCCCGTCCCTGTGCCCCTTCTCCAGCAGAGACACGGACCCGAACAGAGGCAGGAAAGCCTTCTGGAATTGTCACTGGTGAGAAAGGGGAATGCGCAGCCTGGTGCGGGGGCACAAAACTGGGCTGCAAAGGGAAACGGGACTAAGGAGGGAGCAGCTTAGGGCGGGGAGGAGGCACAGTGGTGCTCCCCGGAGAAGACCAGCGCCCCTTCTGCGCCCCCCCCGCCCCGGCTGCTGCGAGCAGAATCGGACTGGCCTGTTTCGGCAGGAGCACTGGGACCGGGATGCCCACACCACCTCCCTGGCCCCAGGTCGGCCTTGCCGCTCCTCTGCTCCACGGGGCACAAGAGGCAACGAATGCAGGCGTGTGCCGGGAGGAGAGCCTGCGAAGGGACTGGCGGCCAGGAGGCTTTTCCCAGCCAGAGCAAGCCTGCCTCTCCTCCCAGCACCTTCGCGATCTGAGATACGCGATTTGGTTTTGTTTTTAAGATATGGCAGAGACACCGTAAGGGCCGGTGGGAGAGACTGGGGGAGCCGCCTCCCCTTTTCCTGCCCTCCACTCTTTGAGGAAAAAAGCATTGAATGCACCATGGAAAATTTAAAAACCAAGAAGAAAGGCTTTGTTTTGCTTCTTAAAGGCTCTGGGGCAATGCTAGTGACCCTTGCAGTGGAAACAGAATCGGAGATGAACGAATATTTTGACTTATATGAAAAGCTGCATGTTGTTTAGACATATAAAGGCCATTCTTTCAAACACCTGATGGACTAGGAACTGGACTCAGTTGCAGTTCTAAATGTAGACGAATCTTTCATTTTTTTCCTACCCTCAATGAATCAGTGTGTCTCCCCATTGTGAAAAAAATGATATCTAAAATGTGAAGCTTTGGATCGCCCACCCGGATCAGAAATCGTTCTTTTTCTTTCTTACTGATATTATGCTAAAAGTACCGGGACATCTTAAACCTGTCACATTGCTGTGGCAGAAAAAATTGGATGTTGTGGTAGCGTTTAAACATCTCGACTGTGTTGGGAGGCAGTTGCAAGGATGCAAACTGACGGCCGGGGACTGGAAGCGAAATCCTGGGAGGAAGCTTAGAGGAATGTTGGCAAGGAAGGAACCTCGCAAAGGGAAGACGGAAGGGCAACGGGATCGGACTCGGTTAAATGGTTGCGTACAGACCGCAGGGCATGAGATAAATGGCTCATAGGAAGGCAGGGCTTGGTGGAACATCAGGAAAAAACTTCTTCACAATCAGGGCGAGAATGAAGCAACATCAGCCAGGGGTGTTTTAAACTGGATTTCTGGCCTAAATGGCCCCTTCCAATTCCACAAATCCATAAGAATACTCAAGTTGAAGCTTATTTTTTTTATTTTCTACTAGGTTTTTTTAAACTGCTTTGTGAATCGTTAGTGAGAGCTGTAACAATTGCTGAGTGAAAATGTGGCTGCAAAAATAACCCTCAAAATAAAAGAGCTGATGGTCTTTGAAAGGACTGAAGGCCAGATAAACTGCCCTCCCCTGCTTTCTTGGTGCCCCCCAGCCGTTCAGGGCTGTGACTGGACTCACCTGCGCTGAAGGTCGAAAACAGCCTGGTGTTTCCCCGGCCGAGGGCGGTGTAGCAATTCCAGCTCAGGTAGAGCACCACCGGTATCCAGACCACGCACACCATGTACCTGGAAGAGAGGAGGCGGGAGGCCAGCTGCCGGGACGGACGGGTCGCCGAGGATCAGCGGGGCTGCCCGGGCATTTGGGTTCTCCCTGGAATCCCTTCAAAACTGCTTAATGGCCAGGAGGAGACGCTTCTCCAACCGCGTGTCCAACCCATTTTTTTAAGGGAATGTCCATCCATGCAGCTTGCGGCCAGAAATCCCCAAAACAAGGCCCCTTTTTCACCTCTCCCAACCCAGCACTTGCTCCGAGAAACCCCAAAACACACCTGCAAACAATCCTCCCTAATTTCAAAGCCGCAGCAGGCGTGGGAAACAGGCAAGTCCTGCCACAAGGACGCCCAACTCCTTTTGAGCAGCTCCGGGGCTGTATTTTTCTGGCGTTGCCGAAGTTCGCACCCAGGATCACGTCCTCCCTCCACCAACCCACCAGGGTACGGCTTGGGCCATCTCCTGGCCTTCCCTCAAGGCTGCACAGGAAGCGGGGGCGACTCTAGGCCCTCAGGAAGTTCTGGCCGCGAGGTGCCCCCAGCCCAGGCCGCGTGGCCTGGCCTGGCCAATGACGGGAGCGCCGTCAGCATGAGCCGAGCCACCCGGAAGACCACCTGGCAGAACGTCTGGGCTTGCGTCGGGGGGATTTGCAGTGACCCGAGAGCCAGGCGAGCGTTGCGGGGGGTCACACAATTAATGACAGGGGTCTGAGCGAGAGCAAATTATACCCGCTGTGTCCAACAGGATCAGGGCTACTTCGGATCGAGCAAGCAAGTTCGCACAATGGACGTGGAACCGCGTTGGGACCGCGGCTTCCCAGCACAGCCCACCATGGTCTCCAGAGGCAGCAGCCCGCTGGCAAATAGGCCCCGGTGCTGAGCAGACTCCCTGCCATGGCTGACTCTTCCCGTCCCTCTTTAAACGTCATCATTATGCAGATTTAGACAAATAGCTTTACTACTTTGTCTTCCGCAGAGACCTGCTGCCCTTGTGTCCCTCTTAATTTGGGTTCCGCAGGGGGGGTTTGGACCTCAGACACCACCTCTGCCCCCCACAAACGCCTCTTCATTTGGTCCCTCCACTTTGCCTCCCCCTCCCCGTTGTTCCGCATCTGAGGGCAGCCATTTTGTGAGGGTGCCCACGACCCTTGCTGAAGCTCCCAAGCGGACCCTCCTGGGGGCTCACCATGCCGTCTTGGAGAGGGACTCGAAGATGCTGGAGTGGAACAGGCGGATGGGCCGGTCGACGGGCTGATGCACCCACTCGTCGTACTTTTCTCCCAGGTGGCCCACTTGCCACAGCAGGGGCTTACGCCAGTCCACGAGGTCCTGGGAAATGGAGAGAGTCACGGGGCCGGCTGCCAATTGGGGGCCGGCAGGCTTTGCTCGGGCTTCCACCCCATCAGTCCATCCATCCAGAAAATTTGCAGGCCGCCCATCACTGCTGTCTCTGGATGGCTTGCAGCATGATTTCAATCCTCAGTGAAATAAGGACCATTTCCAGGACTGAGCCTGCTCACAGAGCATCTCGCAATATTATCCATTCCTGGCCACAAGGCATTTGCACAACAAAGTTGTGTGCATGTGCGTCCTGATTCCAGGGTGGCAGGACGTGGCAGGATGCAATTGTGGAATTCACTCTCTGAGAAACCTGGCATGCCCTCCCCAGAGAGGTTTGCATAGTGCCAAATTTATACTCTTTTTGCCGCCAGGTGAAAACCTTTTTATTTAACCATCATTTTAAGAATGAGGGATTTTAGATGTTTAGTGAACAGTTGCATTTTTATTTATTTTCTTTTTCTTTATGAATGAGATTTATTTATTGTTTTAACGTGATTTCTGATTGTACTTTTATATTATTGTTGTTTTTAAATTTTGTAAGCTGTCCTGAGACGTTTTGTTGGGAAGGATGGGATAAAAATGTTTAAAAGAATAAAATTTAAAAAAACTTGGAATATTGAAAGGAACCCCAGCCTAAAGGGGCTCGGCGGAGGGGAGGGGTGCTCCATGCGGTTTTCCATGCTTAACAACAAACCCCCCCCCCCAAGGAATAACAATCCGAAAGAACAAGAAAACAGGTCCCTTGATATAAAATAACGTGTAATTCCTCTTCTGATAAAGGAACTTCTGTGATTCTAGGATTATGCCAGTTAAATCAGTCTGCATAATGCATGCCGATTAGACACACACTACATGTCACCCAAAGCATGATTTTGGCCTGGTTGATTTCAAACCTGCCCCCCAAAAACTGTGACTGCTCAAGGTGCTGGGTCTGGAGATATAGGGGTTAACGGGGTCGCCATTCTGGGGCAAGCTGCCAGCCTTCTGTGTGGCCGGGGGGGGGGATCCCCCCGGCTGCGGACACAGCATGGCTCCCCCCTCCATTCACTGTGCACCAACGGATGCCCGATCACGCCCCCCACCGCCCTCCGCTCACCCCCACACGGGCCTGTCCACACAGGGGCACCAGACACGCCCTCAGTGCCCCCACCCCTCCAAGCCGCCCCCCTGTGTCGCCCCCGCCGGGGAGAAAGGACCCCCCCCCCCCCCGCAATGTATCTGACCCTCCTCGGGGCGAGAGCACGAAGGCACGGCGAGCGACAGGCCCCGTCCGGAAGGTGTCTGTGGGGGCACGAGCAAGCTGCATGCGTGGCCAGCCCTGCCTGGCCACCCCCGTCGGCAGTCCGATCCAGGCCGCACTCAGCTCCCGCGTGCAATGGGACGGATCCTGAACGCAGGCTGCCTGCGAGCACCCAGGCCTGGGCCTGCCCAGTGCAGAGGGGTGCAGAGAGTCCCTTTTGCCAAAGCACAATCCCACCTCGCGTGCCGGCGCAAAGCCAGAAGAGGGTACGAAAACCCACACCCCCTGACTGGACGGGGTGGGCTACCCGTGGTTTGGCTAGAGGCCCCCTCGCCGGCCAGTTCTGGACCGAAGGCCCCCTGCCTGTTCCGCTTGCTCAGACTTTCGTCCAATCAGCTCTCCGTTTGGGTGTGTTCTGCATCTTTTGGGAAGAGCTTTGCCAAGCTTCGAATCACTTACGACCCACCAGCAAGTCGAAGCTCGCAGCCCCGTCCCTGGAGTTTGTGCCACACTGCACTGGCTCCTTCGGGACCTTTGATGCCTTTCGGTTTCTTTCAAGGCACGGACTCCGTATTTTGCAGCGCCACCACTCCAGGCATGTGTTTCACCACTCCAGGCAATGTGTTACCACTTCTGAGTACGCAGCCTGAATTGTTTTTATCAAGATTTGATGACACTTGAAATGCAGCTGTTCTCCCGTCTCTCTCGTCCCGAGCAGCCGGCATGTGACCATGCCAGGAACAGAACAATCTTGCTGATCCTCCTCTGAGCACATCGCAGGCCCAGATGAAAGCACCTGGAGAGGTTTCACATTTCCGGATGGCCTGGGAAGGGATTTGGGGCACCTGAGAGGCAATCACGCAGAGCAAGCCTCATCCCCACCTCTGGAGCACCCCAATTACCTTTCTCAACACAGAAGCCGAGCACACCCAGGGCTGCTGTGCAATAGCCATGCCAGGCCAGGTTGGTTTCGCAGCCTGGAGCTCCCCGGTCCCTCCCAGGGTCTGGCAGCAGACACTCCAAAATCTAACACAGTCCAGAAAGAAGCTGTGAATGTGCCGCAATTCAAGGGGAGGCCAGGAATGCTGTGCACCTGTCATCTCTGGGGATGTACTAATTCCGATGTGGGCTTAACCCCAGCCCTGCCCAGTTGTGAAACGTCTATGAAGGGAAAGGCACGTCGCCTGCTTTTTCTCCTGTAACACCGAGCAAGACTGCTCCTGGAGTCCTCTGCCCTTACCTGGCACCAGTGAGCAGAGCTGGCAGCACACGGAGCAGAGAGCTCCCCCTTTGCGCCAGTGAAGCCTTCAAAGAAAACCTGGCAGCTGTCAGCATGAAGCGCATTGCGGGGACCCTGTCCGACTGAACCCTCACCCACCTGTCTAAGCCACAGGGGCTTGGAGACACATCCGTTGGCCATTTTATGCAGACACTGCCTGAAACTGCTGCCCATGGGCACACACGGGCAGAGTTAACAAGCCACCCACAGCCCCAGCACGAGCCATGGGTTTGAGTGGCTTGCTAACTGCAGGAAGAACCTGCCCTTTGCCAGGTTCACACGACACCATGAGCGGCAGCAAACGCCCAGTTTAAATATCTGTGATGGCCAAACATCCTGTTTTAAGCAAGACCAGACTTCCAGAAGGCTCTCTTCACGCTTACCGTTTCAGAGCAAAACTCCAGGCTCTCTACCATCGCCCTGCAGATTCAGAAACAGTCTGAAAGGGACCCAAACCGGACCGATTCTCCTGTGCCAACCTTGGAATGACAATGCGGGCAAGTCACGGGCACTGGGCACGTGTTCAAAATAAGGTCCGTTTTGGCCCTAGGACAAGCAGTGCAGCAACGTAATTTCAGACCTTGGACTGTCCCCCGTAAGGCAGCCAGGCTGTATTTCTTTGGTTGTGAAGCAGAGAAGGGGCACTCCAGCCCCCTCCCCAGCAGCTTCTACATTCCTGATATGCTACAACAAAGAAACCCAGGACAAAAGACGCCGGCCCCAGCAAAAAGAAAACGAGCCTGCGACTTTTGCGTCACGGCATCCAAGCACCGTCCCAGCACGCTTCCGCTGCCCTGACGCTGGACATCTTTCCTAGTCCCAAGTATCAGAAAATGCGAATCGAGAAAGGATAAATGTGTGGGAAACATCCCTGCGGGTGGTTAAGTGCACGTGCCTGGCCTGGCACACTGACGATGGCAGCCTTTTTAAACACGCAAAGCTTGCCCGCTCCTGCCATTGGGCTGCGGGGCTGGCAGAAGACCAGCCGGGACCAAGGCCGGGGCGATTCTCAAGCCCTCGATCATGACAGCAGGAAGGCTTTGGGGCCGGCAGGGTCCCACCTGTGAAAGCGACGCCACAGAGGTGTCAAATGCTCCTGCTCCAGCACAGGAAGCAAAAGAGCTTGCAAAGGGAAACCAAGAGGTCGAAGCCCTCGCTGTCGTCGTCTCAGAGCAGGCGGATCTCCCTGTACCAAATGACCTACACACTGGGCTTCGTTCCTCCGAACCCGATTGTGACTCTGCAAATAGCATTGGTAGTTCTCAAGAAAATGCCTTGACAAGGGCCTTCTGAATTCTGCAGAATGACCTGTAAGAAATACTGCAAAACAACCTCCCACATGAAAGCAACCCGAAACACAGAGGTCGTTTAATCGTCTATCGTTATCCTGATTTCAAATACTGATCCTGCCATGGAAGTTCAAGAATGCATTAAGTTGATACCAGGGTTGCGGATGACGGGGGACCAGAGCAGAGGGGAACGAACGAATCACCGAATGAACGAACGCACGAAAGAGTGGGGGAGGGCAGACAGACCCACGAGTGCAGAGTTGTGCGGAGAAGGGCAGTGCAGGAAACAACTGGAAAAGAGGAGGGGCGAGCACGTGAACGGCCGGTATCTGTGCTTGTTACAGGCCTCCATTTCCCTGTGGGAAGGGAGCAACTCTGGCAAAAGTGAGGTGCCAGCATGGCAGCACTGAGGCAGGTGGCTGGAAGACACACGTCACATGGTCCTCTGAGATTAACATCTGGAATTACAGAAGCCAAAAGGGCTGCATTACCAGAGATGCTCATGCAAAGCTCTGGGCGGGACTTTCTGTGAGTCATAAGCATAACCGCAGATAATCCGAGCTGGAGCTACTTTTGCTGGATTGTTCCAGATAATTAGACTGCAGATAATTAAACTGCAAGTGATTGCGATGGCAAAGATCTGTATTGCTAAACCAGAAAAGCTTTATCAGCAGACCAACAGATGAGAATTTGCTAAGGAGATTATAGCCCCAAATTATAACAAAGGTGGGAGCCATACAGGAGAGATAATAGATGATTAGATGATTACTTGGGAGTCCTGTATTGAGCAGGGGGTGGACTTGATGGCCACAGACTCTACTGTTCTGTGATCCTGCAAGATTTCAAACCAAACTGTCTTAATTCTTTTGTTTTGTTTTGTTTTGTTTTGTTTTGTTTTAGGCAGGCTGCTGAAGCTCTCAGGCCATGTTTAAATGTTGTAACTCTACAGCTTGGTTTCAAGATCGCTTTTCTCCTTCTGGTGATGCTATGGGGTGTATTTCAAGATGTTTATGTTGCGAGAAGGACAAAGTCCACGACCTCAGACACTGTCGGGAAAGACTCTCAGCTCGGAGGTTAGAGAGCGCTCTAGGCACCGCAACCAGCACAAGCCATCCTGGGGAAGAGAGAGACGATTAGGTGTCTCTTTTGGGGGTTCTCCTGGTAGGGAGCATTCAGCACTGATTTTTAAAATGAACCCTATCCAAGCCTTTGCGTTCATCCCCATCCGGGCCGTCCTACTCAGAAAGGCAGTTCTGCTAGATGAGTCTCTGGCCGGTTTGCAGAGAGGTCACTTGCCCTTGCTCTCATTTACAGCCTTGGGAGCTGTCCAGCGCTGTCAACCTCAAAGGAGAAACTCCCAGTTAAGTTCTCCAAAGAGCTTTCCAGAAAGCAGAGGGAAAACTGCAAGGAATAGTGTACAGGATCCAGCACATAGGACAAAAATTATACAGTCAAAAGCTTGAAGACGAGTCCATAGCACTCTTAATCTCCTCCTTACAAGGCAGCAAGCACAGAGGACCTGCACCCTGAGCAATGTATCCTAAATCCCCCACAATTTTCTGGTGCAATTTCTTTTTGCTGCTCCCCCAGACAAACAGTGGGAAAGAAACAAATCAAAGAATTCAGCACAGCACTAGTTATTTTTTTCTTTCTGCCTTTCCAGACTTTCATCCACTGGTGTGAGCTTGCGTTTTGTTTTGGGACCCCAAAAACAGATTTCCCCTCCATGAAACCACTCTTAGAAAAAGAAAAAAAAACCTACAGAGTTGTGATGCTCACTAAAGCACCTTTGTACAACCACAAGTGAGAAACGGTGAGCGCACCATCGAAGGCTTGTCTGGAAAAGGCCAAAGGGAATGGCTTACTCTGGCCCATCTTGTGAGGACCAGCGGGTTCAAAAAATAAGGGGTGTCCCACAGGTACATTCCACTCTTGGGTCTCTAGTCCCTGAATGATTTCCTCCATGCCCCCTTAACGGCTGACGGACCCAGTAAAGGTTGCCAGATGGACCCATTACAGAAAAGTGGGAACTTCTCTTGCAAGTGCTAACTCTACGGGGACAATCCTACGCCTCGGTGGTGACTACAGAATCCCAGGAGCTGCAGCCGCTTCTGCCTGAGCGCCCTCTGGATCACAGGCGACGCCGAGAGAGTCGTCTGCGCAGGAGAGCTCTGCACTTCCAAGCCAGGGTTGGATGCTTGCACATCCACCGTGCTTGTGGCGCGGATCCGGGGTGGTCACCTCTTTTCTTCCCAGGCAGGCAGGCTGCCCATCAAACGCCGTCTGACGGCTGGCCGCATCAGCAACTTTCTGTGCTGGGGGAAGCAGGAACTGTTGACTGGTGCCATTCAGTTTACATCAGAATTCACCAGAATTTACAAAGCCTTTCAATTCTGCAAAAGAACTTCTTTTTTTTTAAACGAAAGCAGGAGAAAAGAGCCAAACTGACAGAGTTGCCCAGATATGAGAATGGGCACTAGAATACACTCCTGTCTCTGTTTTCACCAAGTACTTCTGCCTTGAGCTATTTCAGTGTTTTGTTTCAGGGAGAAAAATGCAGGGGTTTTGCTTGGCTAAGCCAAAATTGTTGCAGGGTAAAACACCCTCTTATAAAAGACAGTAAGTTGTTTCAAAAGATCGTGCTCTTGCAACATGTGGGTATGTTCCAACCGACAATGGCTGGTTTGGGGCCAAACCAAGACAGAAAAGGACCCTGCGATGCCCAGCCATGGGCATTTTGGGAATTTTTCCTGTCTTAACTTGTGTAGGGCAGTGTCCCAAATGGGGAACAGCAAGCTATTTATCTTCCCCGGAAGATCCCGGCCTTCATCATAAAATGGTTCAAAAGGTAATTGCCAGCAGGACATCCAAGGAAGAGGCAAAGTCCGTTTCGGATGCGATTGCACCACCTTTCGACAGTCCCTCCTGCATACCTGGCCCAATTGCACATCTAAAGGAACAAAACGCCTTTTCCTGGGCACCTGGCGCCAACCAGTGTCAGCGGCACCGGTCTAACCTTCCGGCAGGAGGATTTCCACAGCTGAGGGGGCCTGATGACCAAAGGGCCTTCCAGCGGAGCCCAGGTTAAGGCAGGGCGATGCCAGCGTGCGATGACGGTGCTGGTGCTGGTGATGCAAACACGCAAAGCCGTTCCGCAGCATATGGGACTTTGGGGCTTTGGGGCGGGGGGGGGGGCACTGGTTCGTGCCAGCTTGGTCCGGGCAAGGCTGATCTGATGGGGGGAAACTCGCAAAGTTCATTGGGAAGAGCAGAGGATGCCACAGGAACAAAGGCAAGATAAGATAAAACCAGAACGACACCGAGGTATCGAGAGCAGGCAAATGAAGAGAGTTAATGCCCAGTATTTATCCCCTTGTTTCCTGTCTTCCCTTCGGCACCCCCTTTCGGACTCCTTGGTCGAGCCACAGCCGGGCTTTTAATGCTTTCCACTGGGCCTCTTACCTTATCCACGTCCACGGTTTTACATCTGGGATCCATCTTCCTGTCTCTTGTCACCTCGGCCGGGCTGGTGGAGTGCTGTGTGGTCAGGCAGTTCTGAAAAACGAGAAGAGACAGCGTTACCCCACCGCGGACACTTACACTTCCGACAACAACCCTTGGCAGGTTTTCTCGGCCAGGCGGTACACTGCTAAACAAGCAGAAGGCTGGACTATGCCAGCCGCCCTTGGAGGATCGAGGCCTCATTGGCTCACAGAATCACAGAACAGGAGAGTTGGAAGGGGCCACGAAGGCCACTGGGTCCAACCCGCTGCTGCTGCAGGGCACCAAGATTATGAACGGCATATGTCTAACATGTATAATGCAGGCACCACTATGTACTTTAGAAATATATATATATATAAGCAGTATATTGTGGAGAAGAGTTTGGCTGATTGACTCACCAAGCCAAAGCAACTGCGGGGAGCTTGCTAGGCAGATGGCTGGGTCTCAAAGTCGCTCTGGCAGCGATCTTGAGCAAAAACAATCTACGAACAGTGCACAGAGAGGCAGGCAAACTTGCTCCCCTCTCAGTCCCCCGGCCCTGTGGATGCAAGGACGGCTCAGCCCTGGCAAAGGAGCACACAGAAAGCAGCAGCGGTCGGCGGGGGATAAAGGCACCAGTCCAAGAAAGTGGAATTGGCACCAAGCACCCCAGTTCGCAAGGGTGACTGAGACAGGACGTCGTCCGGCGCCGCTCATTCCAGCAAGACCCCTTCTGGACTACCGGCCACCGCGAAAGGGACGGGGGGGGGGGCCCATCCAGGGCCTCTTTCCTGCAGGCGTTCCATGCTGGGCTACCCATTAGCCGCCCGAGCGCACGCCTCGCTCCATTACCTTCGTGGAGCCCCCGAGGCGAGGCGAGGCAGGCGCAGGGGCCAGCAGGCAAGCTCAGCCGTCCCCCGAGGCCCCGCGTCCCTGCTCGTGTCCAGGGACAACATGAGTGGCTGTCACCGGAGCAGAAGCGGGTGCTTCCGTGGGCGGGGGCAGCTCCCCGCCTCTCCCCAGGCCATCTTCCTCAGCGGAGATTTTCCCATGCAGTAAATTCCTTAGTAAGTAGGAAAAGATGCCACTGGTGTGAGGCAACTCTTGGCTTTGTTTTTCTTCAATTAAGATGGGATTAAGAGGGCGTGCATGGGAACCTGCTGCCTGACAACCTCCATCAGCATGGAAACAAATGAGCAGCCAGCGAACTCAGCTCCTGCTTTCGGACTGCTAAACTGAGTTAGTTCAACAGTTTTCAGCACCTGTGCTTCGCACTTAACAGCACTAAATGTAAGTGAACGGCATGCAGCTGCCTTCACATTTTTGCAAGTATTATAAATTATATTTGTAAATCAATGTATTTTTTGTATTGTTATATTTAATGGTAATTTATTATGTACTATTGTATTTCAATGTATTTTATCATGTTGTAAGCCGCCCCGAGGTTTCGGCAAGGGGCGGCATAGAAATGTTATAATAATAATAATAATAATAATAATAATAATAATAATAATAAGCTTCTGATTGGAGGAGGCCAGCAGGCTGTGCAAACCAGGTCGGATGAGTTGGTCAGAGGCAAAAGAACCCAGGAGCAGAACCATGGTTTGTTGACGGGTGAAGAACTGGGCTGGTTCGTCCCTAAACACCACACTGGCCTGGGTTCACATGTCACGCTGATCATCTCCAGCCACACTGCCTGGAGGTTGTCTACCGTATGCAGAAGCACCTCCCAGAAAATTGTGGGTTAACGCATTAACCCGAGAAGTAGGCAAATTAGCCCTGGTTCTGCAGATGAGGAAGGTGCATCAGCAGCCCAGTCCAGTGCTGGAGGGCCTGGCATGGCCTCTTGGGGAGTGGAAGGGGTGCCGACGGGAGGTCTGGAATTGGCAGAGGAACCTTATGGGGCTGGCCTCAGTTCCTCCTGGCCTGGGCTAGGTCAGGCGTCGGAGGCTCTGGGCTGGAGAGGATGGGTCGAAGCCCGTCGGCTGGCCTCCTCCCCAACTTTTAGGCCAGCCTAGCCTACCTGGCTGCTCTCTGGGGGACATGGGCCAGCACAAATTGGGCTTTCACACGGGATTCCAGCAACACTGGAGAGGCCAGCGGGCTGGGCTGGGCGCTTGGAGGACCCGGGTTTGCGTTCCCACCACGCCACGGAGCTTGGACCGGTCCCTCCCGCTTGGTGTAACCCGCCTCGCAGGGGCGTTGCTGTGAGGATAAAAATGGAGCTCCTCACAAGAGATGGCTGCTCCGTGCCCCGAGGATCCGTGCGCTGTGTGTAGGGCACTGCAGCAGCCGGACTCCTCCGATCTGCAGCAAAAGCGTGTTTGTCCGGTTGGCTTTTTCAGTGGGAATAAGATGGGGGTGGGGGAGGGGGAAATCAAAGGGTTTCCTTCCTGCAAAGGGACTTCCAGACAGGGAAGCAGTCCTGAAAGGATGCGCCACAAAGGGCAGAAACCCAATCCCAGTATAGGAACCCAACAAATTTATTTATTTACTTAAAACTTTTCTACCCATTCCGCCACTAACATCTCTGGACAGCTTACAATAAGGAACAAATAAAATAAAGCAAATAAGCAAAACAAACTCAGCCTCCAGCAAGTGAAGATAAAAAAAAAACTCAGTTAAAACCAGCTAACCAAATGGGAGTGTCTTTGACCAGACCCTCCTCCCAGGAGAATAAAGGACCGAGGGCTGATTCACTCGGTGGTCTCCTTGAAAAAGCTACAAGGTGTGTGGAGTCACAGGGCTGTGCAAACACTTTAATTGGCAAACACTTCAATTTGCAATACAGAAATACAGTGGTACCTTGGCTCACGAACTGAATCTGTGCCAGCTTTTCACAACCCTTCCAGCTCTTTTTCAGTTTGCAAACGCAGAAAAGACAGCACAGGCCAAATGCGTCGTGCACGCAGAGAGTGTGAGACTCCGGATCGCTCGGCGGTTAACAAGATGCCATTTCTCCTTTTGAAAAAAGCTCTGAGAATTTCCTCACAGGTCAAAAAGGGTGTGAGGGGCAAGAAACGCAGTCCTTGAAGCTACAAGACGCATCTAGGTAGCAACTGCTGAGCAGGACATTGCGTGGGAATGGTAGCTATTTTGGACCCTAACACACACCAGCTCACGGGGAAAATGACACCCGTCCTGGGCCAGTGACTCGCGCGCCTCCCAGTGCACAGTTGCTTGTTGAGGCTGACGCAGGCCAAGGCAGCAGCCACAACCCCCCACAGGAGAACTGGCTCCACGCGGAAACCTCTAGCCTGCCTGAGCCGGAATGTAACTAGAATTCAAGTAACTAAACGTGTCTGCCAACTGGCAGGAATGTTACAGGTTTGAATAGCATTTTACTACCTGGATATTTAATAGGAGAGTAGGATGGACACACCAGATGAAAAAGAAAGTGGAGAGAGAAGGAGAGCTTGGCATTTCCATATAACAGCCCTGTTTGTTTAAAAACAAAACATTCAACAACACATGCCCAAGGACTCTTCAGATCCGAAAAAAGAGTTACTTTGCGCATGAGCAGGGACCCTCTGCCCCTTGGGGGCATTTCTTTAGAAAGCTGGCTCAGGTTTGGGCATGCGTGCACAAAGGGTTGCTCTACATTATCAAGACCGACTTGGTCTTTTATTCTTTATTTTGGAAAAAATAGCCCCAAAGCATTTTTCCCCCTCCTAGCAGCCCGAATGCTGCTGTTCCAGATGTGCAACCGTTCCTCCTGCACACTGACTGTAGCCAGCCACGCACAGGAAGCATTTTGGGCTGTGCCTGTGCAGGGAGCAGGAGGGCACAGGGGCTGCAAGCGTGGCACGGTGCCAGCATCACACGCCTCTTCAGAAAAGCAGTGGATGGACAGACGTGCCCTCCCAGGGCAGCAAAGGCAGCTCCCATCCAGCTTGGTGCCGCTGCATTGCTCACATTCTTCACATGCGTGGCTCTGAATCAGACCCGCAGGGCAATGTAGTCGCCCGACACACCCACCCAAAGGCCACCAGAACACAAAGGACGCCTAGTCTAGGGCCCGAACAGACTAGATTGCCCACGCCTTCGCTCGCAAAGGGCCGCATTCACACCAAGCACAGGAAGCACATGAACCCCATTCCGCACTCGCCCTGCTGGCCATTCCCAGCTGAATACTCGCCCACAGCAAACGAAGCCAGCCCGGCTTGTCTCCTGGGGGGAACGGGTGCCACCAAGGAGGAAGCCCCCCCCCCCCCGAGGACAGCTCTCCGAGCAGCCCCTCTGCTTTCAGGAGGGACTGTCCACGCAGCATCAGCAACACCTAAACTTATCAGAGTCCTTTCTCTAAAAAGACATCCAGGCATCCGACATGCGAGGCACCAACATGCAAAGAGCAAAGACGATTTCAAATAGCCCAATATCTTAAAATGCCCAAACTGGTAAAGCGAAGGTAGTGTGACCCCCTCTAAAAGGCCACCTGATTTGATGTCCAGAAGTAGGGAAAAGTCTTGCCCTGGCAGTCACGTTAGATTATCGTGGCAAAACAAAGAACCCCGCAGTACCTTAAAGAGGAGCACGATGAGCCCGGCATGAGCAGGTGAGTCCTGCCAAAACCTGGCCTGAAGCTTTGACCAAGCCCTCTCCTGGCTGAACTTCAACTCTCCTCATGCCCAGAAGCCACGGCTGTGCCATCTGGGAATGATGGGCACTGCAGTCCAACACGATGGCCTGGTATCGGCCTGGGAAGGCTGCGTCAGGCTGGGCTAAGCATTCCTCCACAGGAGGCTATGGGGAAAATGTAAACAGCAGGGTCACGGGGAAATGAAATGCGCGGCCGTGAGCAGGCGCTCTCGCATCAACCAGGGCCGTACAATCCACGGCTGGGTGGTCATTCCTGGCCGGCTGAGCTGGCTGGATCTTTTGGCATGAGACATCTTGCCAGTCCCATCTGCCAGCCCTGCAAGCTGCCATGCATCCCAGAGGAGTCACTGCCTTAGTTCGCTGCAGCCGAATTCACCAGGGCCGGCATCAAGGGCAAACTCGCCCAGCCGCGAGGCATTTCCCCATGCCATTTCTCTCCCATGAGCTGGACCTCCTGGTGGCAGGAGCCCCCA